AGAAGCATCAATTGCATAGTTCTTGTAGTGGGGAGATACTGTTCAGGAGTTGAAATCTCTAGGGACTAGATGCATATACTTAAAACTTGTGCTTTATCTTACCCAAGAACAAAGATAATCCCAAACCTGAAGTTAATGTTTCTTTTTTTTTTAAATCATATAGTCAAGTCTGAGCTTCAAAAATTTAAATACAATGTCAATTGTTATCTACTATCTTCTTAGTTCTGCTACTTTTGTTGTCCTTGTTCCTTAACAATGTTTTCTTTTTCTTATATTCTTTCACACTTGGTAACCCTCTGCATCTTAGTAGCTTTATTGCCTTGCTTGGGGTGAAATGGATAAAAAAATATTAGTTCAATTATCATTTTTAATTAAAAAAAATGTCATCAAAGAAAAAAATTGAAGTATATTTGATAGATGATGAATGATATTTTTATTTTCCAATATTTACAAAACTGATCTATAAAGTTTGTTATTTTATGTTTTGTATTGTTTATAGATCCGTCTGCTGATATAAGCCAAGCTTTAACTCGTCTCACAGAACCCACTGTACCCACACTGTCATCAGTGATGTCACAAGCTAGTAATAAAGCAAAGGTCAAAACCCATGAATGTCCTATTCCTGGACCCTTATTCAATGAAATGATTTTTGTAAGTAGCATATTACATTAAAAAAAAAAAAAATCACTATTTTACTCATTCTAAATGACAATTGATTTATTTTCTATGGGTTATCAACCCCTTGCAGGTTATTTAAGCCAGAAAATATTTTTAGATTGTAAGAATTTTTTTAAATAATAATGATTTTAGCCATACAAGTTTTACTAATTAACCCATAACTGGGGGGAGAAGAGGTGGTTTTATACCTTTCCCAAGGGTATTTATGTGTAAATAAATATAACAAACCTGACAGAAATTGGAACTCAGCCCTCCAATTAATAATTCTGAACCATTATCCATTACACCACCTGCACATCCAACTTTACAGCACCTTGTATTCCCAAGTGGTCCCCCAACGAGGTACTGACCAGGCTTGCTATTTCTTAACTTTGGTGATTGTACAGGAACTGTTGTTTTAATATGATGTGGCTGCAAGCCTTCTTAATGATGGGCAGTTTCTTAAATATAAAATTGGTAACCCTTCATCTTGATATGTTTGAGTGGCAAACATTAATGTTCATACCAGCAAAAACACAGTGTGTTAAAAGGACAGTTTTTCCCTTGACACTGCTATTATTTTATACTACCTCCACTCTCTCAGAAATATTTATTTACAAGATTATAAAAATATGTGAACCAAATACAATGTGATATTTGTTGTTTCCCATTTGATAAAGAAATAAATTTGAAAAGAAATCTTTTTATTCAAAATTTAAAAAAAAAAAAAATGACAAAATTATAAAAATATTTAAACCAACTACAATGCAATATTTATTATTTATCATTTTATAGATAAATATGAAAACAAGTTTTTTATTCCTAATTTTATAGAAATATCAGTGCAACTGCAGTATGATACCTACTATTCATTTTTCTACTATAGTATGATACCTACTATACATTTTTCTACTATAGTATGATACCTACTATACATTTTTCTACTATAGTATGATACCTACTATTCATTTTTCTACTATTATTACCTACTATACATTTTTCTACTATAGTATGATACCTACTATACATTTTTCTACTATATAGTACCTACTATTCATTTTTCTACTATAGTATGATACCTACTATTCATTTTTCTACTATAGTATGATACCTACTATTCATTTTTCTACTATAGTATGATACCTACTATTCATTTTTCTACTATAGTATGATACCTACTATTCATTTTTCTACTATAGTATGATACCTACTATACATTTTTCTACTATAGTATATTCATTTTTCATTTTTTACTATTCATTTTTTCTACTAGTATGATACCTACTATTCATTTTCTACTATATTCATTTTTTCTATTCATTTTTCTACTATAGTATGATACCTACTATACATTTTTCTACTATAGTATGATACCTACTATACATTTTTCTACTATAGTATGATACCTACTATTCATTTTTCTACTATAGTATGATACCTACTATACATTTTTCTACTATAGTATGATACCTACTATTCATTTTTCTACTATAGTAGTATGACCTACTATTCACCTACTATACTATTTTTTCTACTATATGATATGACTATTCATTTTTCTACTATACATTTTTTCTACTATAGTATGATACCTATTTTCTACATAGTTTTTACCTACTATACATTTTTCTACTATAGTATGATACCTACTATACATTTTTCTACTATAGTATGATACCTACTATGGTATGATATTTATCAACTGTTGGAAGTATGAAATATGTTAGGTTTACAGGTAAAGGCAGGTGAACTGGTTATGTATTAAAAATCATTAACATTCTTTTTATACAAAAGATCATCAAATAGTAATTTTAATGTTTGTAAACTGATATCATTTAAAAAAACAAACTCGTCATCGTCTTTCCTGAGCATTTTCCTGTAATAATGAGTGCTTCATCATTTACGGTAGGTCGAAAATACCTCGGTAGATGTCATACTATAGTAGCACCAAAATATTAATGAATTATAAAACAAAATTTGAATTTGAATAAACATGATTTTCTGGATGTGATACATTTTCTTCTCTGCTTGCTCTTGTTTTAATTTTCTAGTTTTTTTATAATTGTAATCTTAAAATCGAAGGCCTGAAACTCCAACTGTAGATTACCTCCCTTCATACTCATTTTTGAAAAACATGATTTAGAAAAAGTTTTAACTTGTTGCCAATTTTTAAAAAATTCCTAGAAAATTTGTCTACTGATTTATTTCAATTTTCTTGTTCACAAACATTTTTTTACAAATTTATGAATAAAAAATGTAATTTAATATTTATTTCTTTATGAATTGATAAATGATAATCATTGTATTGTATTAATTGGTTTTTTACTATAGTATGATACCTACTATTCATTTTTTACTATGGTATGATACCTACTATTCATTTTTTACTATAGTATGATACCTACTATTCATTTTTTACTATGGTATGATACCTACTATTCATTTTTTACTATAGTATGATACCTACTATTCATTTTTTACTATAGTATGATACCTACTATTCATTTTTTACTATGGTATGATACCTACTATTCATTTACAATGTTGTAAATATAAAATTATTCTTGTAAATAAATAAGTGTTTAATATTTTTGTTGTAAATTCTCAAAGAACAGAAAATGTATAAATTCACTTTCATACTTTCACTCCTTCAGCAATGCTTTTTTTTTTTAAGTGATGATTAGAATTTCAATAAAACTCAAACATATGGTGATTTATTAAATGTGGCTTAGTTGTGGCACAAGACCAAAAGTATGGTGTCTTGTGCCACAACTAAGCTACCATATGTTTGGGTTTTATAGAAATTCTAATCATTGCATTTTAAAACAACAAATATTGCTGAGGAGTGAAGGTAGTTAGAATAATAGCAGTGTTTTGACACACAGTTTTATTGCAGATAAGGAAATTAAAGATGGTTGTTTGAGTTTTGCATGTATTAATAATTTTAGACAATATTTTTTTGGTCAGAATTTCCATATATCTATATTTTAACTTTATTAACTAATGATTCTTCCAAGAAATTCAAAATGGTGTTTTCTTTTTCATCTTTTTTTTTTTCTTATTTGATTTGTCCTTGTGTGTTTGTTTTGTTTATTTAATGGCATATCAACTCATTATGGATCATTTAATGCCAAAATTTAATTTTCTTGGAAGCATTAGTACATTGCTGATAATTTTTTTTATTATGAAGATGTATTGCTAGCACCTTCACTATAAAAATGTATTTCTACACTTTCATTGTGTTTTGACCCCAATTTTGAGGTTCACTATCTGCTCATAGCTGAGACCCTAACAAGTGCTAAACCCCCCAGCTCCACTCTGGGGCAGGGTGGATCTGTGAATAACAGCAATTAAGAGGTGATCCTATGTTCCTCAAAACCTCCTGATCAGAGGCCTTGCTGCTGGATATAGTTTATCATCATACTATTTTCATATGCTGATGATTAATAAATTTTCCTCTTGGGTTCCTTTGACAACTAGAATTACCAAGAAAATCTGCCGGTCCTTAATGATCATGACCAGAAGTTTTTGGTTAGAATTATCTATGGAATCAGACTAGTATCATTGGTTCAAATCACATCCACCTTCAATGCATGAGGTACCAGATGTATATCTAGCTGGTCAATAGAGCATTCTTTAGCTTCCATGGTATATCGAAACAGAAGATTCATTATAGTGGCCCTGTTAACATCATGAGACTGGAGACACACCTCACCTGGGTTCATAATGTCAGTAATTACACTCTGGGGGACCAGCAACATGGTCACAGTTCCAGTTGTTTCTCTAAACATCTTTTGACCCCTACATGATACTAGGCATTTATTATCTCATGTCTTTTGGCCTGTTAGTATATACTTCTCATTGATTGGTCAATTAACATCATTTACTAGTTGGTTACACCACTAATTCTTCTTTTTCAAAATGACATCATTCTTGTTAGTCATATTCTCTATTGGCAGCCAACAAAGACTGCCAATAGAGATTATTTGGCAATCTCTAGCCTTCGTGCACACATAAAACAATGTATCAAAAGGACAGTTTTTCCCTTGGCAATGTTTATTGTTTCAAAAAGTGATGATTAGAATTGGAATAATACCTAAACATATGATGGAAGTGAATTTATGCATTTTTTTGTTCTTGACAACAAAAATATTACAACACTATTTATTTATTAGAGTTTATTTACAAGAAATATTTTATATTTACAATATTCTAAAAACTAATACAATTGTATTAAAACTAATACAATTGTATTAAAACAATGCAATATTTATCATTTACCAATTTATAAAGAAATAAATATGAAAATGATATTTTATTCGTAAATATTTACTAAATTATTAAAATATGTGCACCAGCTATAAGGAAATCCTTATTTACCATTTTAAAAAGTTCGAATCGATTCGTCATTTTTTTTGATGTTTTGCCAACTGTTCCAATAAACATAATAAATAAATAGTGTTTACGTCAATATTTTTGTTGTAAATTCTCAAGTGCAAAGAAATTTTTTAGTTTTTTTTTAGGGTTTATTCAAATTCTAATTGTTGTTTTTTAAAACAATAAACATTACCAAGGGAGTGGAGGTAGTTAAAATAATCATGGTATTAAGTGGAAAACTGTTCTTTTGACACTCTGCATTTTCTTTTTTTTTTTTTTTTTAGCATGAAGGTTAAAGATTACTAAATATTCTTTGTGAAAATATTCAAAATTCTATTAAGTTCTATGAAAGCAGTCATCAAGAGAAAATTGTTAACACTTTTCAATTTATTTTCAGTTTCTTTTTCCCGATGCAAGACCCAAAGAAAATGATGGCAGTGAGATTCAGTCTCCAGAAGATTTATTTGGGGTTCCTATTTCCAGGGCAGAGCTGAAACAGGTAAAGCAGATTGTCTCTATAGGGACTCATATACCCTCCCCTCTCAACACAACAAAAATTATACTTGAATGTAGATCTGAACTGCTAACTTATTCTCTATCATATATATCCCTGATAGCTCCAACTATTCAAATGTAATGTCGATCGACATCTACAGATGCCTTGATCTATACCCTATCCTTCTCTTTATCCTTCCTCTATCACTCCTATTTGCTCTTGCTCCAACTCTCTGTAACCCCTTGTGTGCTAGTGGCTTCCAGCCTTGCTTGGGATGAAATGCTTAAAAATATATGTATATGTGTGTATATATATATATATATATATATATATATATATATATATATATATATATATATATATATATATTATAAATTAATTGATTTAAAATATGTTTTTTTCTGCTACACAGTTCTAATCATGTTTCAAAAATAGAAGCTAAAAGCCCCGAATTTAATTTTGCAATTAAATTAAAAGCATTAATTCCATTTCATCCTCAAGGATTAGAACTGTGTAGCAGAAAAAAACATATTTTAGATCAATTAATTTATAATATTAATGCTCTGTAAACTTAGATTGAGCACTATTTTGTAAAAATAAAAATATCTATAAGAACACCGGATTATATATCTTACTGTTCTTTTTTTTTTATATATATATATATATATATATATTTCAATTAAAGGTGCAAATTATAATTTATAAATTCATGAATCATTCATACAAAAAACAAATATAGAGGCTAATGATTTAAATGGCGAGAATACATTTTCGCAAACAATATAAATGAGATATATCAACCCCAAACCTGTATATGAATGATATGATCCCTGTTTATAAATTCCAGTTGCATAATAATATAATATATATTATATTTCGGATAATAAGTGTGACATTACTGTAATTATTGAACAATATAGTTCATGCCACATAGACGGAAAATCTACCAGTAAAAAAAGAATTCTCTTTTGTACAAAAACGCACAACCTTAAAATTTAAATTCAAACTCGGTGTTGGGACCACACCAAAACAATAACACATTTCTCATAGCATTTTTTCGGATTTCATATATATATATATATATATATATATGACTGGTAAGGGTAATTACAAGGAGAATATTAATCCAGAGAGAGCTTAATGTAAACTACAGAGCATTATAATAATAAATCAAGAAGAAAGCCATAAAGATTAATTTTGGTTATAATTTATTTCTTGAATATCTCTATATATTCATCTCTAGTGTATTAAGGAGAGAGAACAGGAATTAAGAAGACAGAAGATAACGATTGACATTGCATGTAAATTTTTAATGATCAAGGCTGACTGAAAAGCAAGAATCCAGAAGAGAGTTCCCCAAGTGAGTAGTGCAAGAGAAGGAACTGTTAGCATAGAACTTATGTTTATATTTCACAATTTCAACTGTAAAATGATGAGACCTAGCTGCCAATCTAGTACTGTGCTTAAATTTGTAAAGTTGTGGAAATTTCAATAAAAATATTTCTATAAATATTTTCATGTTAGCTGTCGTGACAACAGACCTCACTTTACAGAGTTCAAAAGCATCTCTGAAGAAGAAATATTTTCCACAATCCAATGTTTTTCTCACAGGTGATATGTTGTGAGTCTCTCACTGCTCTATCGTTATTTCCATGGAAAGTGTTCAGATGAACTACATTCTTTTGTTCTGCCAGGTCTAACCTTTACGACTAGGACCTACTAGGCCATACACATTGTACACAAACTAGGCATATTCACTCTGCATTCCATCGGTGAGAAGTAAGTTCCACTCAAACAGCTTCTTCCCACAAACCAATGCTCTGTGGAACCAACCCACAAGAAGATATTTCCACAATCACTGCAATCTTAACCAAACCTAGAGTTAACCCATTATCTTCCCCTCCTATCCATACAAACTACCCCTTAACATAACCCTGTACCTTGAGTGGCCTTGTACAGGGGGAGGGGAAAGAAGAAGGTAAAGCCATGGCTGTTAATTTGGGCCTTGCCTCTCACTTAAATTTATGATTGAAAGACCTGAAGAGAGAATTTGTTTTAATTCATAGAAATGTATGTGTCCAAGAGCCTTAAAATTTTAATTACATTTTTAAAATTGGTTGAAACTTTTTTGTATATTCCTTCAATGTCCTCAGATTTCACTGTCCATGTCGACTATGCTTAGTTGATTCATTTTTTTTACAGCTTATCAACCCTTTGCAGGTTATTTAAAGTCAGAAAATATTTTTTTGTTAGTACCTGTTCCTCTCATTTAAGATGAGAGAAGGCACATGATTCTAACCTTGTGGTAACAACTTTCTCATTGCATTAAGAGAGGTAGGGTTGGTGTAATAACAACACCAGTGTGACAGTGGTTGCTGAGACAGGTCCATTTTTATCCTTTGCCCATATGTATACTTATGGGCTACCAACATAAAAAATACCTGTGTAACATCTTGCCTTAGTAGTGAGGTCAGGTAAATAAGATCCCAACATTTCAATGTTATGTTCTTTGGCTTTTTCATGTGTCTGTCAATTCAGGTAACTTTCAAAAGATTTCAATCTGACACTTTATTCAGTCTGGAACACAGTGGACAAAACGATTAAAGCGTTGATTTGATTTGGTGGTATAATAATTTTGAGTTCAATCCTTTGGCTGGATAGTACAAATAGACTCAACAAGATGAGATATCCCTACTAAAAAAAAAAAAACCCACTCCTAATGACTAGTGAGCAAAAATGTTATGAATTTTGAATAATTCCTTGATAAATTTGATCTGCTGTACAACAATTTATATGTAAAGTGGAAAAATATTAATTACAAAAAATAAGATGAAAAGTTCATAAAACCTTCAGACAACATGATACTTTATTATTGTTGATCATTGTTACTTTTTTTGTCTTATTGCAGGAACTTGCAAAACAATTGAAGTCTGCCCCTCTCGACTGCTTGACTGTACGTCTTGCTACTTGTGTGTGTATCATAAATAAGAATCATGGAGGTTGGAAAGCAGTAGCTCAGCTGTGGCAGGAAGTAATACTAGAATTACGTTATCGACTTGAGAACAATTTTCTTATTTCAGGGTAAAGTATCACTTTATTCCATTAATAGCTTTTCTGTTAACTTGTTTATTCTCAAACTGTTATATTTAAAATTAATGATTTCTTCAATAAATACTAAACACACATCTATCTATCTTCTAAATAAATAAATGGAAAATTCTGTCTGTGTGTCTGAAACCCCTCTAAATTGCTCTACATAGATGTATTATACCTTTTTGGAATCAAGGTAATCCTAGGATTAAAAAATCTGCCCTTCATCTGGTGCTTAGAATATCCAGCATTGGAATTTGTGTCCGAATGAGGAGACAGTTAAAAACTGAAAAAAAAATGAGTGATTTTAAAAGTTTTTAATTTATATTGAGTTTAAAGTAACACAAAAATTCTATGAATTAAAAGTTTTGTTTCAAATTCAGTTTAAAGTATCTTCAAAACTTTGTGAATTGAAGAAATCAGTTTTATTTTTTTCAAAATACCAAGGAATCAGATTTAAAGTGAGAGGTTTCCTGAAATGAAGTTTTGAACTTTCTCAGAGTTTGTTATTTGAAGAACTCAATTTTTGGCCTGAATTGGAATTTGGGCCCAAATTGGTCTTTTGGTTGGAATTGGACTTTAGCCTGAATCAGAGTTATATTGATATTTTGAAGTTCCATGGAGTGAATTGAGGAATTCAAAGTTATTTCTTCAAAATTATAATTGCTGTGTGCTAAGCTGGACCAGGGGTCCTCTTAGCTTTTGGCCCAAGGTCCAATTAGTCCTCTGCAGGAGCTAGCTTAAAAGTCCGCTCAGAGTGTGACTTTTTATCTAGTCAAGAATAAGATAGTTATCAAAGTAAAACAAACAACTAACTTGACTGATGTAAAATTAGTTGTTCATTAGTTACATTCTGTATTTACTTAAACTACTAAGACTATTTAAGTCAACCTACTATCTAACTTTCTCATTTCTCAAAAGGTTTTCCTTTTTTTATAATGAGATTAAACATAATTATATTTAGAATGTTTCACAATATCTTTATTTGTAATCTGATTTTAATGTTTAATCTTTTCTATTCATTAGTGATCCCCTTTGATAAATGTTGGTAAAAGCTGGCCACTGAAGAGGAATTTTTTTTATTCAGTTTTTTTTTTTGCCTATTGGAAAATTAATTAAAAATAAATTTTAAAAGTAATTTTCAGCATCTCTACACTTTATGCTTACAAATATTATTTGTAACTTTTATTTAAAATATGTTTTCATATCTAAAATATTCTTTTTTTGAGCCTGTTCATGATCAGAACACAAAGTCTGTTTAAATGAGCGTGCATGGTATTTAAGGCAAATTCCTTTATTTAACCTTGGCAAATATTTATGCTAATTTTTTTTTTTTTTTTTTTTTTAGTATTGAATGTGGTCCACCTAATATGGGAAGCTGTATTTTGCATCAGAAACTTCAGGTAAGTAAATCTTATTTCTTCAAAAGATAAATCCTTTCATCTTCTTTTTCTTTCAGTTGTAAAGTTAGAGTGGACTAAAAAAATATTTTCATATTGTTGAAATTAAACACTAGGATCTTTTATTTAATCAGCATTCTTGCAAGGAAATGAAATCAAGAGAATGGTATATGTAAAACCACAACTTGAACTTCATCAAGAATAGAAATTGTGTTGTTTTAAAAAAAAAACTGTTTATATGGTTTGTCCAATACATAATCATATCATTCCCTTGGAGTATGTCAAGAGCTCAAAGCATTGGGTGGTAAAATCAGTCTATATGAGCAGTCATTGTTTATATGGCACGAGGATGGTAATTTGGTTGGTTTGATTGTTATTCATATAAATGGGTCTTTAATAACTTCACCAAATCAGTATATCAATGATCTCTCTTTACTTTCTTATTATTACTGTGGCAAATGTGTATTAGTACAAATTTAAAAGAGGCTACAAGTCATGTGTAGACATCTGTCTATGTCAGTCACATCCAGGTTTCTCTGTTAGCTGCAGAACAGCTTGGCATATCCAGAGATGTGCCTCTCTGCAACTTGTCCCAATCTAGGTTTTTAACAATTGTCAATAAAAGCAACTGGAAAACCAGTAGTCGGGGGTTTTGCTTTTGGCGAGACTAACTTTGCTTTCCTTAGACGCATTTCATTCTGGAAGTTGCATAGCACCTGCTGTGCTGTGGTTTTTGAAACATTAACTTCACACGTTGTTATTCAGTTTCTTTTTTAATCACTTCCCTTCTCTACCTGTTCTCCTTTTAATTCTTAAGTGAATAATCTGTTAAATGTTTCTCCCAACCTCAACACACCTTTGTCCTATTTTTCTATAATTATGTATGCTTTCTTTTTCTCACTAAAACTAAACGGTGTATCTGATAAATCTTTTTCTTTTGTCTTTTCTTACAATCAAAATTGAATGGTTCATTATTTATCTGAGGTAATGACAAAGCATAGCATTCATGCTGATTAACTTATTAACAGAGAAGCAAGCAGAATTAGAATATGATTTAGTTACCTCTTAGCTTTACAAAGTGGGGGGACTGAAAAGTTCTCAGCCTGGGCAACTTCCCCAAATCAGTATATCAGTGATTAAACATCAGAATTTTTGGGGGGCAAAGTCTTACAAGGAAAAGTTTGGCATTTATTGACCAAGCAGCTAATACAGCTTTTGGTTGAAATTTATAAAATCTTCCTCTTAAAACACATTTTTTCAGGAAAATAGGTTTTTCAATTCCAGTAACTTTCATTGCTCTTTCCAGTATTGATGGGAGTTTCCTTTCTAACCTTTTGCTTGAAGTGCTGTGAAGTGTCAACCTCTTGATTATGTTATTATTTTCTCTTTGAGTTACATTTGCTATCCATTTTAGTAGTTGCTGTTGTTGAAAGTCCTCAAGTAATGTGGTATCTGGTACAAGTCTTGGTTTGTGATTATGTAGCACCAATCCACAAGGTTTGAAGAAGAGTGGTCTTTGTGAAGACCCACAGGTTTCACTCGTTCAAAGCCATTTTTAACCATTGACATTAGAAAGCAGTTGGATACATTTGGCATTCTTTGACCGAGCAGCTTGTACTACTTCTGGTTGAAATTTATAAAATCTTTCTCTTAAAACACTTTTTTCAGGAAAATAAGTTTTTCAAGTCCAGTAGCTGTTATCGTTCTTTCCATTATTGATGGGGGTTTCCTTCCTAACCTTTTATTTGAAGTAGTGTGGAATGTCAACATCTTAATTATGTTATTATTTTCTCTTTGAGTTATATCTGATAGCCATTTTAGTTGCTGTTGGTAGTCCTCAAGTGATGTTGTTATGATGCTGAAATTAATAAGAATTAATAATTAAATTAGCATAGGTGCAAGAAAGTTAATTGTTAATTCTGGAGAAGCTAGAAAAAAAGATGTTTGTGAAATCTATTCCTTTGTATTACTATCAATTAATTACAATTAATTAATAGTATAGCATGAAATTCTTAAAATTTAAATGAAATCAAAGTTTCAAGTAGGTGAATGTGTTGTTCATTCTTATGTTGTTGTTCTTTTTCTATGTACAAAGTCCTTTTTAGGATTGAGGCGATCGTGGCTCCCCACAACTTCCTGTCTTTACTCTAAATATGTTTTGATCTTTTACCATTCTTCTTTATCCTTGTTCTGCCATACATTCACTCACTTTTGAAATCACTTAATCACTGTTTTCTTTTCTTTGCTTATCTTATCTTCACTATGTCCTGTGAGTGTTAAATTCTCCAGACCTTCTTTTCTCATTCTAAAAATGTTAACAGGGAATAAAATATTTCCTTGAAAGCATACAATTGCATTCAAAGTATATTTAGTTGAAGGCATGCAATTGCATTCAAAGTATATTTAGTTGAAGGCATGCAATTGCATTCAAAGTATATTTAGTTGAAACCATAAAATTGCATTTAAAGTATATTTAGTTGAAACCATAAAATTGTATTCAGATTATTTAGATTCCGGCATTAAATAACCCATGGAGGTGTTGATATGCTACTAAACAAAATCAACACAAAAGAACTTTTTCATAACATTAATCTATATAATATCCTACAATTTCTTAGAGAAATCAAACTGTATTCCAAAATATAATTTCAACAAAACAAGATAAATCACACATATCACTGTCTCTAGTAATTATGTTCATGCAGACATGCACAAAAGTTGAGTATCATCTACCATGTATTCAATTGTGAAAGCAGAATAACATATATCATATTTTTATTACTTCAAACTTCCCAAGAAAATTAAATTTCAGCTTTAAATGACCCATAAAGAGTTGATAGGCCATTAAACAAATCTATCAATCAATCTTAAACTTACAAATTTGATCTTTTTCTCTTTTTTTATGAGAACAAACTTCAGTTAAATTAGAATTTCAAACTTTGTGGCTTCCCTTCTACTCCTGTAATAATTGAGCCAAACTTGCAAATTATGATGAGATTAGTTCAAAATGTTAGATGTGTGTAAAAGATTTGGCAAAGTTTAACTTATTCCCTTCCCCAGGGTAGACATGTATATACATTTTTACTGAAAGTGTCTTTTTCAGACATGGATGAATAAACATGTCTAAAACATAATGGTCAGAAACCAGCTACAGATGTGTTTATGCGTCAAGTTCAATTGTCAACTCATACATTTTGGTAGAGGTGCAAGCTACTGCTTGGGTACTTCAAGGTGCCTCAGTTTCTCAATTACTATATTAATCCTTTGAGCCCTGACCACCACTTTACTGATGTTAGAGTAAAATGACTTAATGCCCAGCCACCAGTTGAACAGTGAGCAAACACTTGGTACTATTTTTATATCTACCATGAAACATTACATAACAATTATTTGCAAATTTTGACTCAGGAGCTCAAGCAGAAGGGTTCAAATTGTTCAGGAACGTAAGGCTCAAAGAGTTAAAAAGAAATAAAAAAATTTGTCTGAAAATGAAACTCTTTTTCCAAAAATGATTAGTGGGGGAAAGAAAAGCAAGTGTGTCAAAAGGACCATTTTTTTTTTCTCTTGATGAAACTGTATACTCCCTTGGTAATTTTTATGGCTTTAAAAAATGCTATTTTTAGAATTTTAATCAAACAATAACATATAAAACTGAATTTATACATATTTTTCTGAAGAATTGACAACAAAAATATTAAACACTATTTATTTATTCAATTGTCTATTTACAAGAGAAAGATGTGACAACAATAATTTTTACAAGAGAAATGAATTTAATTTGTGAACTATAGCAATAAATTATTTCCAAGATTATAAAAATATTCTTATAGTTTACAAGATTATAAAAAATATAATGAAATATTTATTATTTACCATACTATAAAGAAATAACTATAAAAATACATTTTTTATTCATAGAATTATAAAAATATCTATGAACCAAAAAATTTAAATAAACACATAAAGATGAGTAAATGTAATTATAAATTTTGAAAAAAAATTTTTTCCAGATATTTCTTTCAATAGCTCTTACACCAAAATCGGTTGAGAAAAAAATGTAAAAATTCAGTTACATATGTTATGGTTTTATTAAAATTCTAAAAATAGTTTTTTAAAACAATAAAAATTACAGAAGTAGTATATGATATAAGTGGTGTTGAGATAAAATTTTCCATTTGGCAAACTTTTTTTTTTTTTTTTTGCCTGGTCCTAAATTAAATTCTGCCCCAATTTTTTTTTTTCTTTTTAAGGAAAGTTGGTTCACTGTGTCATGCTAGACAATTTTTCTCTCCTGAATTTATCTTAACATTTTTATGAATCTACCATCTATCCAGGTTTTGAATGTTGCTGTTATGTATAGTCTGGTACTCCTGCTATATATTTAGAGATTCTTGATAAAATTCAGAGAAGAATCTGCAATGTTGTTGGTCCTGACCTAGCATCCTGGCTTCAGTCACTTTCCCACTGCCCTAATCTAGCTTCCCTGTGCCTTTTTTATAAACATTTTCATGGTAATTATTCTGATGAGCTTAGCTCTATGGTACATAGACTTTATGAATTTAAGTACAGTACTAGATTAGCATCAAGGTCTCATCATTTTACAGTTGAATTGGATAGATATAACCATAAGTTCTCTGCTAAGTTTCTTTTCTCGCACTTCTTGTTTGTGGAACTCTCTTCTGGCTTCTTGCTTTCCAGCCTACTTTGATTTTCAAAAATTTAAATGCAATGTCAATTTTTATCTACTGTCTTGTTGATTCCTTTTCTGTTATTGTTCTTGCTAATTAATATTTTCTTTTTCTTATTCTTTCAGACTCAGTAACCCCTTGTATCTTAGTGGCTTTATTGCCTTGCTTGGGATAAAATGTTTTAAAAAATGTTTTGTTTTAAATTTCTTTTAGATGTTAAATTGCTGCATTGAAAAAAGAAGAAAACGAGCCCTTCAGTCAATGGAAAGAGCTGCTCCAGATGGCTCATTTGATTCTTCCCCAAGGCGAATGCGTCATGGCAGTGGTGATGAGACTTTACATGACTCTCCCAGCCATAGTGCTGTAGTCGCCTCTGAGAAGTGTCCACGTTTCTCCCCATTGATGAAGCGTAATCTCATGAGACCAGACTCTCGTACTTCTCTTGGAATTGAGAGTTGTTCAGGAAGTGATGAAGAATTCTTTGATTGTGATGAGAGCCAAAAGGAGAGCGAGATTGACATGGAAACAAGTGAATCACAGAGTTCAACCAGTGTCAGCCAGGAATTAGGAGAGAAGGAGGCTGTGGCTGCCACAGAACCCGAGGGAAGGCTTCGTCCATTTGGAAATGTCAAACTGAAGAATAGCAATGAAATTCTTTACATCCCTATTACCCAGGAACCGGCACCAATGACTGAAGACATGTTAGAAGAACATGCAGAAGTTCTTGCCAAGTAAGTAGAAGTGTTTCATTTTTTATGTTAACCCTTTATAAGGCCCAAGAGCCACTCGAGGTAGAGGGTTATAGAATAAGAAGCACAGTTTATGGGGATACGTGGGGAAGATAATACTTAGCCCTAGACTTGAACAGGTGAAGTTTGTAGTGATCAGAGAAGCATCCTCTTGGGAGTTGGTTCCACAAAGTAGTCGTTTGTGGGAAGAAGCTGGACTTACATCTTGCCAATGGAATGCAAGAGAATGAAGGTGGTTTGCTGCAGTGTGTGTGTGTGTGGCATGGCAGGTCTTAGCTGTGAAGCTTAGAACTGGTCAAACTAAGGAATAAAGTTCCTCTGAACATTTTCCATAGTAATAGTGGTACAGTAGCATGACAAGTGAGGCGTGTTAATATGCAAAATTTAAAGCCCTTGGGCTGGTGGGTAAGAGAGATTAAATTATAATTGAACAGTGTCTTGAATTTAGAAGCCAAATTGTTTTTTTGTTTTTTTTTGTTATTTACAATGGCAACACTTCTGTTAAAGCCTGTGTTTTTCCATTCAAACTGTCTAGATCATTGTAGCTTTTTTTTTTTTTTTTTTTTTTTTTTTTAAAACCATTTTATCCCAAGCCAAACAATAATACAACTAAGATGCAAAGTGCTACTGGGACTGAAAATGAATGAAAAGATCTTAGAAGGAACCGGAAACCCAATCCTAAACAGAACAAGGGACAAACCTCTACTCCTGTTCAAAAGACTGGGGTGGAGTGTGAACAGGATGATAGGCAAATATGCTTTAGATGTCTCAACAACCAGCTCTCTCCATTTCTATCTCAAAGCCTCGGTCAAATTTATACTTGTCTATTTGGGGATATTGTTCTTCCATCTATTTCTTTGTTGGTTTCTCCTTCTGTATTGTTCCTTTCAGGTTGCCTTGACACATAATTGTGAGATATCCTGTCTGGATTTAATAAAGTGCTAATGGCTGCTGACTATTCATGCTTTAAATTTATAAGCTTCTACACAGAATTAAGAACTGTTTAAGCTATATATATATATATATATATATATATATATACATGAATTATTCATACAAAACTAATGCAAAGTTTAATGATTTAAATGGCAAGACATCCATCTTGCAAACGATTCAAATAGTACACAAAAACCTCTAAATCCGTTATGCATGAGTTGATCCTTGTTTATATATTTATAGGATTTAGAGGTTTTTGTGTACTATTTGAATCGTTTGCAAGATGGATGTCTTGCCATTTAAATCATTAACCTTTGCATTAGTTTTGTATGAATAATTCATGTATTTGTAAATTGATTGCACGTTTATTGTAATATATATATATATATATATATATATATATAAATGGTTTGTTACTTAGTTGATTGATGTTCAGTATCCCAAAATCTGAATTTTGTAGACAAACCCGTCTGTCCATTCATCAGGAGGTATCAGCAATTGACAGCTTATACTTCTCAATTTTTCTTTTTTATTTGCACTTATCAGTGGTGCAAGTTTTCTTTTAATAGTGTGTACTCTGTGGGGATATGCATATGTGTAGGGTATTGTGATTAATTGTCCTTTATTTTGAAAGAATTAATGGATTTATTTTTAACCCAACATTTTTATAACTTCAAAAGTTATTTTTAGTGGATCTGAAATAATTGCCCCTTCTTTTTTTATTTTTAATCTATTTGCCTGTGCATTTGAGAAATTTTAATAAAAAAAAAATGTGGTCTCTGGCAGTGTTTGAGGATGTTTCCCTCTCTGTAGGAGAAACCACTATTTGATCTGACATGTCTTAGTCCATTCAACTGCTTTCTCTTACAAAGAGGGGCAAATGTTCAAAACCCTCCCATCCTGGGTATGATGATAAATTACATCTGCGTCCTGGGTAAGACGATAAACTACATCTGACAGCAAGACCTGATCAGGAGGTTTTGAGGAGTGTGGAGCCATCTCTTAATTGCTGGTGTTCCCAGGTCCACCCTGACCCATTGCCAGCTATGGGCAAATAGTTAACCCCCAAACTGGGGTCAAAACACTATGAAAGTGTAAAAATTGGTTTTAATACTGGAAATACTTTGTAAAAAATTATTACCAGCAATACATTTAAAAAAAAAAAAATATATATTACCAGCAATAAAAATCATGTCAGCATTAAATAACCCATTGAGGTTGATATGCTGTAAAGTAAAACAAACCAAACTAATTAAACCCTGCTGGAGAGCAGCTTTTCTTTATTAAGATTCTTCAAGGGCACATGCTGATTGATGTAATATACACTGTTTAAAAAAAAATAAAGTACAAGGTGTCCCCTAAAAATTGACATAATTTTGTAGTGTAATAACATAGACAATTCTTACTCAAATGATCTCAAATTTTAACAAAATGTCTAAAAACTAAGTTGATTGTGTAAACTTATCTCAATAAGAATCTACCAGATGGATCGGCAAGCCAGTGATAGTGACAATGTGCTGTTGAAAAGGCTACCACATTCACCTGACTTGACACCTTATATACACACACACACACACACACACACACACACACACAACAATTGGAAAATTGATTAAGGAGATAATAATTTTATTGACCTATTTCATAACAATAGCTTAAGAAGTTATCCTCAAGATTAGATGGCAAAACCATGTGAAATGGTGAACTGCTCCAATCTGCCTGCATGGGACCCTTTAGTGTTGAGGTATGGCTGAGAAGATGGAGGTTCTTTGGCCACATTTTAAGGCAAGACCCAAACAACAATTGTAACGTTCCACTGACCTGAAAAAAGGAAAGACCAATAATAATATGGCAAGGGATGAGAGAAGAAGGAAACATTAGGCTAGCAATCTGAGGGTGAGGCATGAGTGGCAGTTGCAAAACAGCAAAGTAGAGACCTTCTATGGAGTCTTTATGAGGCACCAGGCAGATAGGTAGAATCCCCCTCAATTTACTTTTTTAAAACTATATTCTGTTATCTTCCTGGGGGACAGTCTTGCTTTTATATTTATTAAGTATAAACCTCTGCTCCTGTTCAAAAGACCAGGGAGGAGTGTGAACCAGTTCACTTATTGTCGAGTTCACACTCCTCCCCAGTCTTTTGAACAGGAGTAGAGGTTTATCCCTTATTTCCTGTTTGGGATTGGGTTTCTGGTTCCTTCTAAAGTCTACCTCAATTTTATACTCCTAACATCTCCACCTAAATTCTGTGATTTTATTTTATTTATTATTTTTTCCTCAATAGTAGTGAGATAGGTTTGCATTCCTCCCCAGTCTTTTAAACAGGAGTAGAGATTTCACTACCACTTCCAATAGTCCCTTGTGTTTTAGTGGCATTATTGCCTTGCTTGGGGTGAATTGAGTAAAAAAAAATTCTTTTTTTTCCTCTCTCTTTTGGTAAATCACTTTGTTTCCTTTTTTAACTATATTAGTTCCTGTAACATATCCAATACAACTTAATTTCTATTTTGACTATAGTTAAATCACCAATTTGAATACCGACTATAAATTTGAGAGGTCATCCTAATTCCAAAAAGTGTTTTAACAATTAAACTTATGCATTGTTTTCAGACTCGGTACTTCAGCTGAAGGGTCGCAGTTGAGGGCCCGAATGCAAAGTGCGTGTCTTCTTTCAGACATGGAATCTTTCAAGGTAAGCCTTTCAATCACTTTTTCAATTCATTCTTAATTCATACCTTTAATTTCTAGCTATTATGTATATAATAGCCTTACTCTATTATTAATGCTTGCATTCATTCCTGACCACTGACAATCCCTTCCTTCTTCTTGATTTTTAATGCATTCCTGTAGTAAAATCATTAGAAATGTATTTACATTATACATATAATAACCCTATTCTATGAGTAATGTTTGCATTCATTCCTGACCACTGACAATCCATTCCTTCTTGATTTTTAATGCATTCCTATAGTAAAATCATTATCACGGCATTTACATTATACATATAATAGCCCTATTCTATTAGTAATGCTTGCATTCATTCCTGGCCACTGATAATCCCATTCTTCCTGATTTTCAATGCATTTTACAATAAAATCATTAGCAATACATTTACATTATACATATAATAATCCTATTCTGCCAGTATTGCACACCTTAATTCCAGACCATTGAAACTTTCTTGTCTGTATATGATGTGGTGCTGAAAATTTCTTGGTTTCTCTTACTCAGTGCTGAAAGACAAACAAGATAGTCAGATTATTTCCCTGCTTGCCATAATTTTTACAATTTAACCATTAAAGTGAATGACGTTTCTTGTGATATCAAATGTTACATAAATGTCTAATATAAATGTCATTGGTAATAATTAGTCAAATAGATTAGGAGGATCCTTTTGTTTTAATAATCATCAAGTATATGTACCCCAGAATAGAAATAATTTCAAGAGTAGTACTGGCAAAATGGCAGTTGTTGCAACACTATCTGGAAAGGCAAGAACATCTGCCTGAAATCAAAGATCAGACTGTTGTTTTCATTGGCCTTCTCAATTGTTCTGCAAATTTTGGACATTAACAGAAGAATTGAAGCAAAGAATCCTAGCATCAGAATGATACACTACTGAACCATCCTAAGGATCTCCTACGTAGACCACATCACAAAAGACGCAGTGTAAGATGCAACCATACACAAAACATGCATGTTGGAAGATCTCCTAAGAAGAGGAAGTTTAAATGGTATGGCCAATTACCATATAAGAGCCAATAATCTACAAGGTTCCACTTTAGGCGAAGAGGAAGAAAACAGGAGAAGAAAATGGACTGACAATGCTATTGGGTGGATTAAAAGATTATTCACAGAGATTAATGCACTGGCATGCATTCAAGATGTGGAGGGAGTTGGTCAGGTATTCAGCTGCACAGTGCCTCTGCGACCACACCCATTCAGATGTCCAGGTGTCAATGGATTTATCCTCATAATCTGTCATGTTCTTTTAATGTTTCATATCATTCAGACTTTGGAACCCAAAATTTTTTCTAAGTCAGTACCAAGTCCGAAGAAGCCGTAACCTTGTGGGTGGTGTTCTGTTCCTATTAATTTGTGTTGTTCTTCCCCAAATATTATTTCTTCCTTATTTTGGGGGGAATGTAAAAGAACCTTGTTCTCTTTTGTGTTTAAGTTCTTAACAAAGACCCTCACCAGATGAGTATGCATGGGACATGCTGCAAAACTCACTTGTTACCAGCCACACCCAACATAAACAACTGAGTTACGGGTCATCCTGGACCATGAAGGGTAGATATGACACTGCAACAATTAATTGACTCCATGCCATATCACATAGCCGTCATTATTCAGCTGAAAGGAGGAATTACATGTTTTATCTGATTTTTTAGGTGCTACAATTTAAACCAAAATTGCATTTTATTTGCAATTTTCTGTTTAGTATTTATTAAAATATTTATTCTTCGACTTTTTATGTTTAAACATTTATGTATTCTATGAAACAATTTTCTTCTTTCAGGCGGCTAATCCTGGCTGTGTTCTGGAGGATTTTGTCAAATGGTATTCTCCTAGGGATTGGATCGAAGAAGAAGTTGAGGAGAATGGTGTAACAGTTGTAAAAGGTATTACTCTACCTAAAAAATATCTATGTAAATATACTTATATGGAGATACATATGAAATGCTACATGAAATATTTTAGAGAATGTCTAATACTATAAATGTTTTGATAATAAACCAAGGTGTGACTATAAATAAAATTTAGAATTGGTGTTAAGTTTCTTTGCCATTTTTCTTTGTTTAAAGAATACAAGAGTACCAAAGGTTTATCAAATAACAATTTGGGTGGCATGGCACTTATCAGAACAGAAAATGTAATTGGCAGGCTGAGTTCAAATTCTTAGCACTAATATCTGGGAAAGGCATGAATCTTTTTCTCCCTAGATATGTGTAAAATAGTAAATCTGATTGGATTCTCTAGTCTTAGGAGGTAATTGGAGGTCAATTAGAAGAACAATATGGAATTCAAAACCAGCCCAAAGAGAAATGGGCTCACATACATGATTCCCATATTCTTCATCATGTCCGGGCACCAAACATAATTGTAAAAAGTTTTGTCTGATTTTCATTGTTAATAAAAAATGATTGTAACTTAACACTGACGTTTGTTTGGTACCAATTACTGATGTATTCTAGATTGAAATCTTTTCATTGTTCAGTTGCAAGTCAGACTTTGTTGAATGCTGATGTTTTATCCACAAATGAATGCCTTAAAAATAGAGGCATTCTATAAGTTTTGGAAATGAGTAAGCATCAGAACTGTGACAAAAAAAAATATTCAGAAGGTTTATTTGAATTGTACTCCAGCTGTTCGGACAGTCAAAAAAGTGGTTTGGGAAATTTTGTTAGGGTGATTTTAACCTAAATGATCAACCACACTCCAGGCAATCTTCCAACACCATTGAAGATGCTTGGTTTGCCATCACAGCGAATAAACTGAACATTTTAATGAAAGAAATTACTAAGAGTTTGAAAATTAATATCACAGCTGCCTTTTGCTATTTGAAGAGATTTGGGTTCAAGCAAAATGGCCAATTTTGGTAAATCAAAAAGTGACATTTTCCATCACTACATTGCAAGACTGCACATTGCAAAATAAACTTTGCAGAAGCTTAAAGTGTTGAAATGGGGAAAGCCTCCACTAGATTCTTCCTACTTGGTACATTTGGAATTGTTCAGGTCTCTACAGAAAATTTCAAGAGAAGAGATTGTTAAGAGTTTGAAAATTGATATCTCAACTGTCTTTCAGCATTTGAAGAGACTTGAGTTAAAAAAAAAAGGGCTAATTAGGCAATCTGTATTTTTTGACACATGACTGATGAGTCAGAATTTTTTTCCCGCGGTAAGTTGCCATTTCTTTCTGCGGTAGACCAGTTGCCATCCAAGGCTATAGAACCCGGTCTGTCCTGCTATTTACCCATAGCTGGGGGGAGAAGAAGAGGATTCATACCTTTCCCAAGGTTATTAGCACATAAGTGAATGGATTCAACTGGAATTTGAACTTAGCACTCCGATTCCTCAATCCGAGTCACTATCCATTACGCCACCATGCCTCCTCATGGACAGTACTTTTCCAATTTAATATATAATCTTATAAGACATTTTTTTTACATGGATTTAGTTCAATGTTGTGTATTCTTATAATAATAATAATAATAATTCTTTAATCTTTTATGACGGAGTGTTGAAAAGTTCTGACCCAAATAAACTCTGACGTTTGGTCAGATTATGGGTTGTGCCAAGAACTTTTCAGCACCCCATATATCTACTTTGCTTTGTTCTTTTTTTAATAAAAGACCAAATCTATTTCTAATCTGTTCTTTTAATAGCATTGCAATATTTTAATGGTTTTACTATGGTTTGGATTTAACAACATGAAAGGAAAATGTGATTAAACTCTTTTTACTTCATTTCTTTCCCCCCCCCTCTTAATAGTATTCCTTTTCTTTGTATAGGTCAACTTAGTCAAAGAATGCAGATTCCTGGCAACATGTGGTCAGAAGTATGGCAGAATGCCAGATCTGTGCCAGCTAGCAGACAGAAACGTTTGTTTGATGATACTAAAGAAGCAGAAAAGGTGAGTTGCTACAATGTTTGATGATACTAAAGAAGCAGAAAAGGTGAGTTGCTACAATGTTTGATGATACTAAAGAAGCAGAAAAGGTGAGTTGCTACAATGTTTGATGATACTAAAGAAGCAGAAAATGAGTACAATGTTTGATGATACTAAAGAAGCAGAAAAGGTGAGTTGCTACAATGTTTGATTAAAGAAGCAGAAAAGGTGATACAATGTTTGATGATACTAAAGAAGCAGAAAAGGTGAGTTGCTACAATGTTTGATGATACTAAAGAAGCAGAAAAGGTGAGTTGCTACAATGTTTGATGATACTAAAGAAGCAGAAAAGGTGAGTTGCTACAATGTTTGATGATACTAAAGAAGCAGAAAAGGTGAGTTGCTACAATGTTTGATGATACTAAAGAAGCAGAAAAGGTGAGTTGCTACAATGTTTTTTTAATCTTTATCATTCTGTATGTGACTTCATTTGCTGTACAGAAAGTTTATTTTGCAACTGAAGGTGACTCTGATACCTGAATTTGTTTTTAATTTCGTAGTTGTGTTATCATATCCTGCTATAGCAACAGAAAACACTTTTGAGTGAAATTAACAATAAGATTACTGCAATTAAGAGGCCTTGCAAAAGAATGCAGTAGAAAGGGAAGAAATATTAATAATGCAGAATGCTAAAGTATAAATGTAGGGGGCACTGAAAAGTTCTTTGATCAAATCATTTCCCCAAATCATCAAACATTTTATTTTCTTTTTTTAAAACTTTAAGATCTTTATTGATAAACAATTGACATTTTTGTGAATTATACCTCATAAAAATATTAATACTGTGTAATATATGAATTGGGATCAAATGTAGATCAGAATTTGACAGAATGATAGAATAAGGAACAAATAGGAAAAGTTTATAAATCTAACATGTTTCAATTTTATTAAAGTTTCATCAGAGAATGAAATATGGAGAAAAAGGAAATTCTGGTATTTTTGATTTTTGCGTTATTTGCTTTTATCATTGGTTAAGCAGACCTCATATGCATCTGTCTTGTCAAGCAGCATTAATGTGTATAATTCATGTGTATAAGTATCATAATTCTAGTTTGTCTAGGAGGGATTTGAATGATATGTATTCGTTTGTTTATATATATATATATATATATATAATATGTGTGTGTGTGTGCATCTAGTAGGCATTTTTATCCATATTTGGTAGTTGTCCACATGTTGATTTGTGACATTTTGTGTGAGGGTGAAAGAATTTAATATACAGGGTGTCCCTCATAAATTGACATAATTTAAAAATCTGAAAAAATCTAAAAATTTAAAAATTGACATAATTTTAAAATCTGAGTAACTAAAATGTCCCAAACAAACAAAATTAAATAGGCTACATGTTGAACATTGAAGATATTCCAAGGGTTGTAGATTTTATAACCAATTTCATAAATGTTCAATATGTACACCACCTGTGACATGACATGCATCAAATTAGTAGTCCAGCACTTGCCAAACACGCTGTAGCATGTCTTGTGTAACATTCTCCAGTGCTTCATTGCACACTTATCTCAATGAGAATCTACCAGGAAGATGGATCAGGTGTGCCAGTAACAATCTGCTGTTGAAAAGGCCACCACGTTCACCTGACTTGACACTTTGAGATTTTTTTTTCCATGGGAATATGTGAAAGGACAGGTTTGTATCCTCCTCTTCGTACAAGCCTTGAAGGAACTTAAGCAGAGAATCACTGAGACACTGGAGAATGTTACACAAGACATGCTACAGCGTGTTTAGCAGGTCTTGTCTTCAAGTCTGAACTTTGCGTTCACTTAACTGAATTTGCTTTTGTATGTCAATGACAATTCTTAGTTTGAACTTTTTGCCTTATTACTGTTGCTTTGCCTTATTACTGTTAATTTGTCTTGCATATATGGTTTGCTTGCTTCATATTATTTTTGCCCTGTTCTTTTTCTTGTTATTGCTTATTGCAAACTTTGTCAAATCTGTTTTTTTGGGCAGTTCTGCATTTATTTACATTAAACGTGGCCACTCACTCTACACATTATATAAAAAAAAAATTAGGTGTCTGTCAGCATAAGTAGAAATGGTAACTAGTATAAATTTGATTAAACTCTACACTATTGTCCTTATGGCCATATCATGTTTAAACACCAATCACTTCTAATCACTGAAGTTAAGCAATGTCAAGCCTTGTCAGTACTGGGAGGGATAATTGCTTGGGAATACCTATTGCTGTAAGCATGGATGTGCAGGTGGTATGACTTACAGCCACATCACACTGAAACACCCGTTCCTGTACAATCACTGAAGTTAAGCAACATGGAGCCTGGTCAGTACCTAGATGGAAATACCAGGTGTTGTAAGCTTAGATGTGCAGGCGGTGTAATAGATAATGGCTCAGAATTGTTAATTGGAGAGCCAAGTTCCAATTGCCAGTTGAGTTTTTCATATTCACCTGCACACAAATACCTCTGAGAAAGGTATGAATCAACCTCTTTTCTCCTAGCTATGGGTTAATTAGTAAGACTTTTTACTAAACCATTATTATCTTCTCAAAAAATTTCTTAGAATCTATAAATATTTTCTAGCTTTAAATAACCTGCAAATAAAATAAATAACCTGGTTGATAAACCATAAAAAACCTGGTTGATAAATCATAAAAAATAAATGAATCTATCAATCCGGGTTATTGATCTTATACTTTCTGTAATTTGGAGATGACTTGTTTCAAGTGCTGTTCAGACTGTCAGTTTCATTTTAAATGATGATTATGTTGATACTACAATGTTTTGCTTCTCTCTTTCTCCTTACAAGTTTAACAGCTGAAGAAGGTTGTAGAATGGATAAGCTGAAAGGTTGCAATTATCAACATAAGAAACATAGTTTAATAGTTCAAAGAATTCTTGTTATTTGTATAGTAATGTGTCACGAGTTGGTGTTTCTTAATCAAGTGATTTTTTTTTTTTTGCTTTTGTGTAGGTCTTACATTTCCTGTCATCTCTGAAGCCTCCTCAGTTGGCTGAACATTTATTACCTGTTCTCATCCATGCAGCCATTATCAGAATTATCCAAGAAGGTAAATAAACTGATCTTTATTTTCATCACATTTACAAAAAGATTATTAAATATTTTTTCTCTCTTGCCTTTTTTGATTCATGTACTGCAATTTTCTATATCTGTACGGTCATTTTACTATAATTCACTAAATGTCTTTTTGGTCACTCGGTCATTGCAGAACTCTAGGACAGCTTGAGTTATGGCTACCAAATTTTAGTCCACCTATCATTGCATAAATCAAACAGATCAAGCTATGACTACTAAAATTTCTGTATTTACTAATGGGACCCTAATGTGTGTTTATAGCATATTGGTTTTTGTAAATTCAGAAAACAAATTTTAAGCTTGTAGTGATGTGATTGATTTAAATGTGAGTAAAATGTTAAACTAGACTCTTACTTTGTCTTCCTTGGGTTAGCTAAACTGAACTTTTATAATTTTGTTTATAGAATAAAATAGACATCTAACTAAATTTTCCTGCTGGCTTGGCAGCTGAAGTCACATTCCCCTTGCCATAAGGTTGCCTCTCTGTGCTTTTTCTATAAATACTTTCATGGTAATTGTTCGGATGGTAATTAATGAATATGTACTGAAATTTTCATTTAAATTAGATAATTCCTTGATTTTTGGTAATTCCTGCCAATTTTTTTTCAAGGGTTTGTGGCCCCTCAGTAGGGAAACTGAAATTGCCATGTAGTAAAGCGAGGGGCCCTGTATCAAAGTTTCAGCCCTGACTAACAGCAATTTATTTTTATCATAAAAAATATGGCATATTTTCAGTCCTTTTAGTATTAGGTTTTCACATGTGATTTTAATATTTTTATTTTATTTTTTATTTTTTTATTTTTATTTTACTAATACAAGGCCCAAGAGCCACTCAAAACAAAGGGTTACTGTGTGGAGTTGTAGTAGCATAAGAAAGTGCAAGATAACATGGCAGATAATTCTAGACTTAAAGAAGTTAAGATTTAATTAGAGAATAAAATTTTAGAGTTCAGCTGGAGACATTAGGAGTATAGAGTTGAAATAGACTTTAGAAGGGACCAGAAAACCAATCCTGAACAGGATATAAGGGATAAACCTCTACTCCTTTTCAAAAGAATGAGGATGAGTGTGAACTGGACAATAGGCAAACCTATCTACTCCTTTTTATTATTATTGATATTTTATTACTGATATTTGGTAATCCTGGGGGATCAGTTTAATACTTAATACTAAAAGAAAACTGATCCCCCCACTTTAACTTATTTTAATTCTAGTTTACCTATGCCATCAATATGTTATATTTTTTAAATCATTATTGCTTTCAGAGTTGAGTCTTATATAAACATATACAGTCCTCACAAAAAATAACTGAATTATTTAGACGCGTGTCAGAGATATGATGATGCTTATATATGAAAATGTTTTGAAATTTGTTTTACCCAGTGGCAGACATTTAAACTCTAAGAAATAACCAATAACATGAAAGTATTTTTTTTTAATCCACAGAAGATGAAGAACTTCCCAAATTGAAACAACTTATCAACCAGATTGTTGTTAAGTCAGCCAAAGTGACTCGAGCAAGCAACCAAACATCACGGAAATATGAAGTAAGCAATGATTCTCAATTGATTTTATTTTAAAGATTTTGCTACTTAAACTGTTACTTTTGTTTTTTATGTCAACTAAAGACTAAAATGTATTCACTGTTCATTACACTTTTATGAAGTAAGCATTTACAATGATAACTTATATGCAAGGTGGGGCTGAAAATTTCTCATCCTGATCAAGAAGCCCTTTGCCAAAGGTTTTGGTTAAATTTTGGAAAGTGGCAGTTGGACTGAGAAATTTTAAGCACTGTGTTTTTTTCTATATGAAGAGCTGAAACGTTCTTGATCCTGGGCAGGGCCAAGAAAATTTCAACATCCCCTTGCATGTGTGTATGCATATATCAACCAACTCTGTGCAGGCAGAAAGTGAACTTTCTTTGTTCTCTCTGTCTCATGGGTGGGCTGTGAGTAATTCTTTTTATGTTTTATACTCACTAGGGGATTATTTACACCAATTTCTTGGTTTTTATTAATAAATTTGTTTTATTTATGACTCCTTAATTACACCCCCATATCTTTTTCAGTTTCACCATTTTGATTATTGTTGTTCCAACAAATCTTTCTGAAGAAATGTTTGACAAAAAAAGGTCCTTTTTAAAAGAATGCATTCCATCATTTTCAAAGCCATATTCAAATTCTGTGGTACAAAATTTTTGTTTTTGTGTGTGTGTGTGTGTATATAATATATATATATATATATATATATATATATATATATATATATATATATATATATGCGTGGCTGAGTGGTTAGGACCTTCATTTTTTAACCATGAGATCTGGGTTTGAATCTCACCATAGTCAATTTGTCAGGAAGGAGACTTCCTGATGTTATCAGACTGGATTGAGGTCGATCTCAGTGTGTGGTGCCTTTGGAAAGTGTCTGAAAAACATACCACATGCTGACCAAAGCTTTGTGAGTGAAATTGGGACAGAACTCTTGGTGGCTGTCGACAGCTGTGCTAGCATGAAACCACAAGTCATCATGGCCAAGGTTTTGAGCATGCTAGCCTTGTTCAAATTGGTGATCACCCTCTCTCCCAGAAACTGTAACTAAGATCTGCTCAGCATGATTGCAGTATAAACCACAGGTGGACTATGTGGGTGTTGAGAAAACACAAATGTGTCTGAGTGAGCATCTGTAATAGGGATTGGCTAGCTGCCCTAGTAGGCAGGTATCCTCAAATATGAGTGGCCAGCTATATATATATATATATATAGTGTGACGGGTAAATTGTCGTCATTTTATATTCATAATTTTGCAAATGCACTTTGTTTGTTTTTGATTTTATTGACTGCACAATATAGTAGGGTCAGTTGGGCACTGTGAGGAAAAGAGCACCATGATGTAATTTACTCCACCAAAAATTTGGAAATGACATGCTGTATTTGTATTTGGTATTCGTGCTGGAAGATCCAGTATGAATATTTCAGAGTGTTTGGGTGTCAGTCTCTCTGTCTGTCTTTTTAGGATCTTATTCAATTGATTTCATTGGCTGAGACTGTGATTGCTCGTGCCAAATCCCTAAAGACCAAATTTACAAAGGATCTATTGGACCAAAAAGAAGCTGAAGAAGAACTGACTCATTTTGTGTCGAGTTTGTTACAACAACCAGAAGTAGCTGTTCGAGGAGGACCATGTGGACCAGCAGGATCAGTCATTCATAAACTTTTTGTTGCTGCACAAAAGGTAAGAATTAATGCTTTGTCCATCACATGTCTGCATGGGACTTTGCATGTGTGTAGCTAATGTATATGCATGTGTTTGTTATGTATGACTGACTTACATGTGTTTGAGCCATTTAACATACACAAACACATATGCACACAATTTGACTGGGCTTGAAATAGGACATTGGACAATCAGATAAGATTTTATTGGAATAAAGTTTTTATGTTATTTTTATTGGATTTTTGGGAAATATTTTTAGGTCTCTCGTGACATACCAATGAAATTGAAATGGATATCTGTGTTTTATGGGCTGATAGATATCCTTATTCATTTGGCGACAAGCCCTGGGTAACAGGACGTGTACGGTGGAGTAATGGATAATGGCTCAGATTGAGGAATCAGAGAACCGAGTTCGCATTCCAATTGAATCCATTTATTTATGCGCTAATCCTCCTCTTCTCCTCCCCAGCTATGGGTAAATAGCAAGACTGGGTTCTATAGCCTTGGATGGCAACTGGTCTACCGCAGAAAGAAATGTCAACCTATTGCAGGAAAAAATCTGCCTCGTCAGTCATGTATCAAAAGATATATGATCGCCTACGTGTATATCATGCATGACACACAACTGACTGACTGCTAAGGGAAAATATTCAGCCCATTGAAGGCATCTGTATTATACTTTCTATATTTAAACTATATATATATATATATATATATATATATATATATAAGGTTGTTATGTAAATTGATTCTTTTTTTTTATGATTTATTTCAATTTTTTTTTTTTTTTTTTTTTTTTTCATGAAATTTAATAAATTAAATTTATTTTAAATTTTTGTTATTTATTAATATTTCTGATGAATCATTCACCAAATGTATTTCTCTTCATTGTTTACAACCTCTTGTCAATAATCAACTAAATGTTCAATGCCTCAGTGATCACTGGAGGTTTTGAATTCATCAATCCATATGTTAAGCTCCACATCATTGTTAAACAAAACACACCTCAGATGGCCTTGTACCATACTAAGCTAAGCTTAAATATTTATAGCAACATTCTGTTTCTTGTCCAGTTTGTATTGATTTAGGGTGAATACTCAGCTATAAGGCCATTTCTGTTTTTCTTTTCTTTTTTTTTTTTTTTGCTTGTTTTTTTTGCTTGTTTTTTTGTTGTTTCTTTTAAAATGAAATGTGCCAAAAAGATGGAAATGAACTATACAATTTTTATTTTTTTATAAGAAACTATCAAATTTGACTAAGCAGCGGTCAAATTTGACTAAATCTTACACAACTCCATTACTGACATCAGTTATCATTAAGGCTTACGGCCACATTACGTTGAAACCCTTGTTTATGTATGATCACTAAAGTTAAGCAACATCAAGCCTGGTCAGTACTTTAATGAGTGACCCACTTGGGAATACCAGGTGCTGTAAGCTTTGATGTGCACTTGGTGTAATCGATAATGCATTAGAATTGATAATCAGAAAGCAGAGTTCCAATTATTATTGGTTTTGTTATATTCACTTACATGCAAATACCCTTGGGAAAGGCATGAATCTACTCTCTTCCCTCCAGATATGGGTTAATTAGTAAGACTTGTATCACTAAACCATTATCTTAAACAAAAATAAAAATTCTTACAATGTAAAAATATTTTTTGGCTTTATATAACCTGCAAAGGGTTGATAAACCATAGAAAATGAATGAATAAATAAATAAGTGAGCCTTAAGCACTCCCCCCCCCCATCAAAAAAAGTCAAACAAAAAGAGTATTCAAGAAAGCTACCACTTCTATTAGTTAAGTTAGCTTGTAATATCTTCTGTTTTTGATTGAATTTCTGGGATGAGAAATCATCATTAATTACATTCAGATTAATATCCTCATCTTCGTTGTTGCTATCACAATGTTTCAATCTTTGTACCTACCAACCTTCTTCTTCTTTGTCGACCTGTGTAAATGTTGCAAGCCTCTTGTTACTCTATCACTATTTCCGTGGCATTCTTTCGTTCCACCAGTCCTGACCTTTTCATCTAGGACCACTATGCCATGTACACAAGGATGTATCATCTGCATTCCATTCATATTCCATCAGTAAGGAGGATGTTTCACCCAGACAGCTTCCTCCTGAGAACTGCTGCTTTGTGGATCAAACTTCCCAATCATTACAATCTTGACCTCTTCAAGTCCAGGGTTAACTGTTATCTTTCCTATATAATCTCATGAACTGTATTTCTTGCCTATTCTTATGCTCGTACAACACTGCACAATAACCTTTTACCTTGAGTGGCTCTTAGGCCTTATGAACATTAGTATAAAAAAACAAACTTTTAGGCATTTTTTAACTGAACTTTTTATTTAATCCAAGAAGGTAGATTGTTCTTGTTCCGTTGTCCCTGTCTAGGGATATTCTCATTCTTCTGGGTTCTACTCAGTTATTGCCTGCCGTTCTCCACCGAGTCAGTCTGCAACATCATAAGTTTAAGATTCCAAGAATTGTCAGAATTTTCAACTTCAAAATTATCCCAGAGACAACAGCCAAGTGGATTAAAGTGTTGCTTTGTTATTTTGGTGGCATAGTGGATGAGAGTTCCATCCCTGTGGTAGGCAGTAATTCATTTGGTGATATAGTAATTGTGAGCTCAATCAATAATAAGGTGAGATATCCCTAGACATGGACAGTGGAATGAGAACAATCTACCCCTGTAAATTAAATAAGGGGTCAGTTTGAAATTATATGAAGCCAACACTCTGAAGAAGGCTTAATGGTACAATGTCCGAAACATGATAACAACAACAAAGATGAGGATATTCATCTGAATATAAATACTCTTTTAGTATTTATTAGTACCAAGTAAGAAAAAAAAAAGTAATTATTTATTCTTGTTTAAAAATTAAACAACCTGAGAATTGGTCAAAATCTTAAGTTGCTTATAAAAAAAAACTTTAAAACATTATGTACAAACTGTCCCCAAAGGTCTCGTTGTATCTGACATTTCACAGATACTCTTTGTCTCTGTATTTTAAAACCATGAATTATGGATAACAGATTATTATTGCAATGTCTGTTATGCATGATGAAATCTTTTGCTATTTGAGAATCATATTGAATGTTATTGATTGATTTATTTTTGCGTGTTTGTATCAGGCGTCTCATCTTGTGCTAGAAGACGATTTACCTGAAGAACCAACCACCCCAAGTCATTGTGCTGACTCTGAAGCTAGCAAACCTCCAAGTACTGTGCCAGATTTCCCAGAAGCAAGTGCTCGTGAATATATTCTTCGAACCATTATTCCCCGTCCAGCTCCATACTCACGACCCCTACCCCAACGGATGTACTGTGTTTTAGTGGATGGAGATTATCGTCTTGCAGGAGCTTATACATCTGATACACTGTTTGAATAAAGTGTGGGCTTTTGGCAATCTGCACATTTCCTTTGTGATATCTACCTTCATGCTTTCCTTTCAAATTCTGTACATGTGAATTTTCTTTTTTCTTTCTACATTAAAGTTATAAATAAAATAATTTGTGATTTTTTTGTGTTCATTATGTAACTTTAGCAACTGTTTATTTGTAAAAATATTTTTTCATCTTTTTATAATATGATATGTGTGTGTGTGTGTGTAAATATATATATAATGTGCAATTCCTATATATATTATTTATATATATTATATATGCATGGTACTTATTGGAAAGTGCTCAATATCAGTGATAGAGCTGATATATTTATTTGCGTTGATGTGACTTTGTCACCCTGGGTTTCACGCCTTTTGCAAATGTCAGGTGTGTGCGTGTGTGGGATAGTGATATATAAATGAACAATTTTGAAAGAAAAGCTGTATGACAATTTGGAAAAAATTCTTTAAAAAAAACAAATTCTTCCCAAAATTTTGGAACTAGCAGCGTCTGTGTCATTTATGTGCATGGCGGAATTGGTGAGGTGACTGATCAGAGGACGCAGCTGGTGAATTTCTGTTTTTTGAACAAAGCCAGGCTGAGAAATTTTGCCTACGTAAAATTTAAAATGATAATTTTAATTAATGACCATGAACTAAGGCCATGCTATGCAGTTGAGAACCAGATTGTTTGAAGAATGGCCATGGTGACAGGCACAGATGAAATACCAAGGAAAATGGAGGAATTGCTTGTGCCCATTGGGAATTGTTGGCATGAGGCACCAATAAGAGAAGGGAGGAGTTGTGGGAATCAATATCCTGTGGCCATTACACATTGGAAAAGGGATCTCTCCAAATTTGGAGGTATAATTAATTATCCAAAGTCAGGTAACAAAGATACACTTGTTGGGGATAGTGAAACCACGGATTCCCCATATCCACGTCAACCCCCATGCCAGTTTTGGGTGGAAGTTAATATAAGCAGAATACTGAAATGACCAAGACACAGAAGTTCTAGACAAGAGACAACTACTCTGCCAAATCCCATATGACTTACTGCTAGAGAGAACCCTCTGATTCATGCCTTGTTTCAGACTTAGCCAAGTTGAGCATAGTGTCACTACAAAACACAATGTGGAAAGGGTTAATGTTTTGTAACTAGAACCAATTCATTGTATAAAAACAGTACATAAATTTTCGTAGAACTAGACTCTGAAGAACTCTTGTCATTTCTTTAACTAGAAGGACATATTTTTTTGTTAAATTCCTTTTTGATATAGCTTTGCCAGGAATAGACCAAAACACAATTGCTGATGACAAATTGATCTTTGCTGGCTCTGTGATCAAATAACACAATGTTGGCAGAGCAACAGTTTAAATGTGTGTGTGTGTGTGTGTGTGTGTATATATATATATATTTATATATATAATGTATATAAATAAAAAGAAAGAACAGTAAGATATATAATCCATTTTTATTTTTACAAAATAGTGCTCGATGTAAATTTACAGAGCATTAATATTATAAATTAATTGATTTAAAAGATGGTTTTTTCCGCTACACAGTTCTAACCATGTTTCAAAAATGTTTTGAAACATAGAACTGTGTAGCGAAAAAAAAACATATTTTAAATTAATTAATTTATAATATATATATATATATATTTCTGAGATGAGGTGTTATGTACACTATTTACATCGTTTGAACTATTGTCCTCATCTTTGTTGTCATATTTATCATGTCTCAAAGATACAATGCACAGTGTTATTAGTTAGATCCAGTAACAGGACCCAAAGAGTGTGAGTTCAATACCTGGTTAAGGCAGTGGAAAACTTCGACAAGGGATTTAACAGGAGATAACAGATAACTGACATCCATTAGACATGGCACGTGGAATTAGAACAGTGAGCAAAATAAAAGGTTCAGTTCAACATTCCAACCACCTGAAGAAGTTCAGAGCGTCCGAAACATTGTAATAAATATGCCAACAAAGATGAGGACAATAGTCCAAATAATGTAAATAGTGTGTGTGTGTGTGTGTATATATATATATATATATATATATATATAAATTGACAAAGCAACAACATATTAAAGTGCATATAATATTTAATGCCATTTTACATTTCTACCAATTATTTCTTGTCAGCTTATATTGAAATGCTTCTTTTGTAAAAATTTCCATAACTACAACTTTTAAATTAAAAATTCTAAAATAACTATAACAGCACATTCACGCATGTTGTTAAAATTTACCATCACAATGGAATGCAGGTTTTATTGCAGTTACAATAAGTTTGTTTTTGTAATTTACACCTGAAGATAATTTTAGAAAAATTGAAAATACTTTGGTTAAAAGAAAGTATGGCACCTCCCTTGATGAATTTAATCTTCATTTGAAGAAACTGATGAGAGAACTGAAAAAGATCAGCATAAAAATAAGTAGATACAATATGTCTATATTATTCAATGAAACATCTTTGAATGAAGATATGCAGCGTAAATATATATATATATATATATATATATATACACACACACACACACAGTGGATTCTCTTATCATTTTCAACGTATGAGGCTCAAGCATCTCAGTTCTTAGTACCAACAGCCAGACTACCTGTACGTGTCATTTGATTATAGTGGTGAAGACGTGCATAACCAACCACACTTTTAGGAAAAGCCAAATACAGAGAACTGGTGCACAGTATGCCACAAGGTCCCCCAAACGTCCCTCCACAGGTTTTGAATTTAGAGTTGTACTTTTCTAGACCAGATGCCACTCAACCGAGTCTGTCCTGCTATTTACCCATAGCTGGGGAGAGAAGAGATGGATTCATACCTTTCCCAAGTGAATGTAATGGATTCAACTGGAATTCAAACTCTGCTCTCCAATTCCTCAATCCAAGCGGCTATCCATTACTCCACAATATATATATATATATATATATATATATATAAGCGATCAGATGTCTAGCCACACTGATGACCTGTGATACTGCAAAAGAATTTGTGGATGACGATATTAGCTCTCGATAAAATAATTTAATCAGTCGAACACTGTGGGGTGTAAGGAACGAATTTGTAAACGGTCACTGCTACTGCTGATAATGCAAGACTATCCTAGCAATCGAGTTCTCTGAGTGACTGTTGCATTTCTGAAAAAATAAATATGCAAAAATTCACCTTTTTCTCTATATAGGCATTATATCTACTGTTGCCAAATCAATCGGGTTTCAGTCCCAGCCTGAAGTGATGGGATGTCTAGCCACACTGATGAGCTGTGATACAGCGAAACAGTCTGTCCATGGATGAATATATATATATATATAAGAGAGAGAATGCTTTTAATTTTCAGCTAGCATTTCTTTAGTCTTAATTGATTTTTATTGCAAAACTCAAACTAGCATTTAACAGTTATTAGTTAGATTGGGAGCAAAGAATTGGCTTCCAGTGAGACTCAGAACTGCTTCTGTTATTCTAAGAGAAGCCTGTTTTATTGATTAGACAATGAAACCTTCCAGATGTAGTCATTCATATCTCATACCATAACACTCTAATCAGAATCCAAACAAGATTCATTTAAAAAAACAAAATTATTGAATATTACATGCTTACTTTACTTATGACACTTTATGTCCTCCACATGCTTTGACTGGCCTTTCAACAACCTGATGAATATTCATGAACATTCTCAAATTTAAAAGCCATGATACACCAATGACATCATCACTTTTGTACAGGTGAACCTCATTTCATGAATTTAATTTGTTCCTGAAGGCCATTCATAATCCAAAATGTTCATAAACTGAAACTATTTTTCAAAGAGGAATCAGTGTAAAGAAAAAAGTCACAGTACAATGAAATTGGAAATGAAAAACACAACACACAAATGTATATAACACGGTGGTCGACTCAGAAATTATTTTGTTCAGGTTAACTCAATTCAGCAATATTGTTCGAGAACCAAAATTTTGTTTGATAACCAAGGTGTAGAGGACCGTGGCGGTGGTGAGTATGTGAAACACACTTGGGTTAAAATTTCCTGCTAGCCGGTCCAACTACATGAGAAAGTTGGACTTTAATTAAGTCCAAAGAAAACAAGGAGAAACAAACACAAGACCGATAAATATATGTAAACAAATATATGTTGTATTAATAACAAGAAAGGTTACAAGTTACATGGACAGAGTGCGTGTGGTGAATATTATGTGTGTGTTTGTTGTTGTGGTGAGTGTTTGTATGTACGTGTATTGTTCTTAGTGTGTTCCCAGCATTTGGGAAACGCTGTATCTGTGAGCGTTCACATTTGCAAGGTGGTATAAGGCCAAAGCCTGAGGAAAAAGTGGTCAAGGCGAAGGGTCAGCTAGTATTTATAGCCAAGGGAGAGAGACCCCTGTTGAAGGGTTAAGGAGCTGAGGAGGATCTAAATCCAACAGAGGCATTTTCATCTCGAATTTTCTGTTTGAAAACCATTTTCTTCGACATGTGAGATGTTCGATAACTGAGGTTGCACTGTACATAAACACATGCAGCAAAATAAATCCTACATTGCCTTGATAAAGTCCCTCAGAAGATGAAATGCGTCAGCTAAGAATAGTTTTTCCTCTTGTCTCTTTTTATTCATTCAGATCTAAGTTCTTTCTTTTCTTCTCTGATGATCTTTATTTTCTTTCTGATGTAGTCATTCCAATTGAATTAGATCACCTTTCCTTATCTTCATTGACTACCTGATAAAAAAAAATAAGCTTTCCAAGGGAGATAAAGACATTAATATAATTAGTCTTTATCTCCCTTGAAAAGCTTGTCTTTTCTTATTAGGTCACGAAGCGTTCCTTCAGATCTAATTGTTTTTTGACTTTCTTTGTCTTTCTTGATCACCTTACACCATCTTTATTTATATACTTTTAAAACCTTTACTAATTAAAATGTTAGATAAAGTAACTCGCTTGAACCGAAAAATATATACTTTTTTATCGAAGGGAGAGCTAATTTAAATTAACTAAAGAACAAGCACATTTAAAATATAATTTGGTTAAGTTTGTCTAAGTTATATATTATGAAGCCACAATATTCAGCGATTAAAGAAATGTTTTTTTTTTGCATATTGTCTGTAATTATTAAATGGTACTCCCACCAGAAGAACATTCTGTAAGTGTGTTAATTCTATGACTTTTGTGAGAAGGTAGTAGCAGAGTTTCCTCCCCTTACATTAGATTTTTTTTTTTTTCAATTATAAAACAAAAACAGAAATGTTCACTTTTTTTGATTGACTGTCAAATTCTTGAAAAAATATCCATTTGTCCATTTGTAAAGAATTTTGTCACATAAACTTCATCTTATATTCTTCTTTAATATTTGATCTGGATAATGATGCAGATTTTCATAATAGAATTTTATTTTTCAATGAAACTTTGTGTTTTTACTTTTTTTTTGTTATTTTTCTTTAAATAAAATTACAGTACAGTGTAACCCGGATATAAGAGAGTTGTCGGAACCGGAGAAGAAGTCTCTTATATCCGGGTTTCTCTTATATCCGGGTTTGGTCTATTTTATATACATTAACACAGGCTCTAATTTGGGACCAGAGAAAATCTCTCTTATATCCGGGTTTCTCTTATATCCGGGTCTTTTATATCCGGGTTACACTGTAATTTTTTACAAAATAAATTGATTTTATTTTCATTAATATCTTTAAAAATCTTCCACAAAGTTTTTAATAAATACAGAAGACAACACTAAGAATTTTTACAGTAAAAATGTTAATAAATTTATTTTAATTCTTTAAATAAAAAAATGAATAAAAACTATTGAATTTTGTTTTTAAAAAACAATATAACAAAAAAAAAAAATCAAAATACAATGAAACGAGTTTAAAAATGTTTTTTTTTTTTTTTTTTTTTTAGAAATTAAAAAAAAGTAATTTTTTAAACAATCCTGGAGACAAGCATTAGAGAAGATCTGTTTTTTTTTACTTTTCATCGCATTAAGTAAAAAAAAAAAGCACAACAATAAAAAAATTATTATTATTTTTTTTCCATGGAATATATCACTAAAATAAATAAAAAACAATAAGTGTATGTTTTTGCTTTTAGAGACACTTCCACTTTTAGCTGAAAAAGGCCCCACACTTAGTAAAAACAGAATTTTACCATCAAAATGTTTTATGTGGTAATTTTTATTTTAACACCGGAGCGCTATCTTCAAATTTTTCCAACAAGTCTTATTTTGCAAATGTTTTGAACTCAAATCAACAATTAGATTTGAAGAAACCTACCTTAAAAAACCGGAAATAAATTTTTTTCCTTGTAGAAATTTTATAAACAAAAAAAAATCAAATAAAAAAACTTTCAATGAAACTTTTATTTTTTATTTTTTTAAGAGTTTAAAAATGTTTTTTTTTTTTTTTTGTTATTCTTTTATTTGTCGAAATTACAAAAAAAATCGCTTTACGAAAAAATTTCTAAAAGTTTAAAATGAAAATTTTTTTTTTTTTTTTTAAAATTTAAAAAGTGTTTTAAAATCAAATAACTGCAAAATCGAATTTTAATGAAACTTTCAGAACTTATTCACAAATAAATTAAATTATTTTGGAAATTTTTTTTTTTTTTAGAAAACCTTTGATAATTTTTTTTTTTTACATATGTTATCCTGCTCCCACTTATTTAATTAATATTTCATTAAATTTTGAGAAATTAAATTTCAATCTCAAAATGTTTTTTCTTACTTAAAAGTAAGATTCCTTGGAGAATTAAATTTTTTTTTTCAAAATACTGCTCATTTCCCGAAAATCTGCTCCAAATTATAAAATAAAAAATGAAAAAAACTAAGACATTTTTTAATTAGAAAAGATTTTAATTTCTCTTATGAATAAGATTTATTAAGGACACTATTGTCTTAGGAAAAAAAAAAATTTTCAATGAATAATGAATTTTTGCAAGAACTGTTTTAATTTTAAAAATTTTTTAATTATAATAATTTATAACTCGTTTAAAATTCTGCATTACTTTAATCCAGTTAGATATTGTTATTAAGTGAAAACTATATTTACAAATCAAAAATTGAAAAGCTTAATAAAAATCGTTTTGCACCAAGCTTTTAAAAATAATTTTTTTTTTTTTTTTTTTTTTAGTGTATAAACTTTTCTATAAATATTCCCATTTTTGTAAGTATGGTAGTTCATACATAACATTATCATTAAAAGGTTCACATGCTTTAAGGGTTGTCCTTCCCTTACTGAAAAATTTGGCTGTGTACAATTTTTTAAATTTCATTTCCTTTGTTTCATCATATTTACATCTCAACGGGCTTTGCAAAACATACCTTCAAAATTTTAAAGTGAATTTTACTTTTTTTAATTTGTATTTCATTAAATATTTTTATTTCATGCATTTATTTTTTCACTTAGTTAAAGAAAGAACCTTGAGATGAAACCCAGTAAAATTCTACTAAAAAATAATTTTTACTTTAAGATAAAATTAAATCTTTCTTATTCAATTTCTATTTGAATTTTATTTTTTAATTTGCATGCCATGTTTTTTTGTTAGTAGTTTTTTACTTTTTTTAAGTAGATTTTTTTTGTGTGAAAGTTATTTTGATAAAAAAAACCATTTGAAAGACAACCTTTTATTTAATTTTAAACCTAACATTTAATTTAATTATTTTTATACTTTATTTCATTCACATTTAAAATTAGTTTTCTCATTTTAATTAATTGGGAATAGTTTTCAACACCGAGGGTTCACAATTTTTGTATTGAAGAAAATAGAAAAATTTATGCTTCACGTGGCAAAATTGACTGAATGTTAATTATTTTAAAATAATTGTTAAATGTTTTAGCAATTGTTCAGTAAAATTTATTAACTATTAGTATTAAGATTAAAGAATATTGCAAAAGTTTTTCCAAATGAATGTGCTATTTTTCTTGCTTATTTATCTTTATTTTAATTTTTTAACTTTTCAATGGGGGAGAACTGAAAAAACATTGAAAATTTTCAACAAATATGGAACATTACAGAAGATAGAAAAATGGGTCTCCTGGAGAATACTGAAAATAGTTTCCCTCCAATTACATTGAATTTAGTTGGGAAACTGCAAAAAAAGAAATGCAAGAAGAAATTTCTCAGCATTTGAAAAAATATATAAAGTGGTGGCAAGTTTGTCTAAGTCAATTGCAGCTACTACTACATCTACTACTACATCCGCTACAACTACATCCATTACTACATCCGCTACTACTACTACATCTGCTACTACTACTACATCTACCACTACTACATCTGCTACTACTACTACATCTACCACTACTACATCTGCTACTACTACTACATCTGCTACTACTACTACATCTACCACTACTACATCCGCTACTACTACTACATCTACCACTACTACATCTGCTACTACTACTACATCTACCACTACTACATCCGCTACTACTACTACATCTGCTACTACTACTACATCTACCACTACTACATCTGCTACTACTACTACATCTACCACTACTACATCCGCTACTACTACTACATCTGCTACTACTACTACATCTACCACTACTACATCCGCTACTACTACTACATCTGCTACTACTACTACATCTACCACTACTACATCTGCTACTACTACTACATCTACCACTACTACATCTACTACTACATCTGCTAATACTACATCTGCTACTACTACTACATCTGCTGCTACTACTACATCTACCACTACTACATCTACTACTACATCTGCTACTACTACATCTGCTACTACTACATCTACCACTACTACATCTGCTACTACTACATCTTCTATTGACTCTTTGGCTGCCACCCAGTTGCAACTTTAGTGTCTTACCTCAATTTAACAATATTTTATTTGTGATCTAATTCCATTGGTTAAAAAAGATTCCAATACATTTCTTATGTAACCGTACTGCTATTGACAAAAATCTGTGCAAAAAGTGGATCACAGAGTTAAAATCCTACCCTGCTATTTCTCTGACTCCTCATTGGTCAATTAATTCTAATAACATGTTTTTAACTACGTCCGAATTGTATCGACCTAGTTTCTGACCTGAACGAAAATACAATTCCACCAAAAATCTGTCTATTTGTTTCGAACCTATCATTTGACTTGATAGTAAATAAATACAAGTGACATTTTTAACTCTTTCTCTTTTGATTTTCTCTTTGTAATCAGTGAAGAGCCTGCATTTGTTCCTTAATGGAAGACACTATGAAGCACACACACACACACATGTACGTATGAATATTGCACATCTCTGAACTCATTCACTCCATAAACAGAAACTTATTCAACTTTACAACTTTCACCTCTTGTTAATATTCACCAGCAAGAAATGTTACTTTAAAATCTTCTGGAACTATAAGTTATGATTCAACATATTCTCAGCTTTCCAAAATTCTTTCACTCATATTCAACTCTGGTGAACAATGATAAACGGCAAGTTTATTCAACTTTTCAATATTCAAGTGAAGATTACATTTTCCCTTCATCAACAAGTTTCTTTGAACTCCTCTAATAACAAATTTCACACTACAACACCTTATCAAAGAACATTCTTTCCATTGAAACTTACTATTATTTCGTGAACTGAAATCCTTTCTGTGAGTCCAGATAAAAAAATTTATTTTTTCCTTAAAGTCATAGCTAATTCAAATAAAAGTTAAAGGGAAATAACTCCTGCTGTATTATTACAACTCTTACTGCATAAATATCACACACTTGATTGCTTTTGTATTTCATACAGTTAAATGAAGATTGTTTCTTGTTATAGAAACAGTTTTTGTGTTGTTTCTTTTGTTTGCTTACACATTTGTAAAGTAAAAAATGTATGGGTTGATTTAGGCCGTCATTACCACTACACGACTACAACCTTGTCTGCTGCAACTGTAAACCTTTCTGTGGCAATCCTGTCTTCTGCAACTTCAACCCGGTCTTCATCTGCTGCTCCTTTGTCAAAGTTCAGTAAAATAATCACCTTAAAGAAATGGTTGGCACAAAAAAACAAAAAAAATTATACTTATGGGTGGAAAAAATGAAAGAAATTCAGAAGAAAAAGAATCAAAATATTTCTAATCTGTTAGCTAGCAGGAAACTCCATTATGACTGTCTGTCAAATGGAGTTCCTGCTTCTCATGTTTGTGAACTGTTGGAATCTATTTTGAAAACGTTGTCCATGGAACCCTGCTCTTCGAACAAAAGTTCTATAACTGTTTACAGAATGGGGGGGGGAGCTTGGCTTCCTTTCAGATATCAAGAAGTTCGATACAGTGCAAAGTGCAGAAAATTGCACTTTAGTTCTTGATTCTACAACACAAGATGAAATCCACATAAAATGTGTGTTCTTAAAGATGCCATTACCTCTCATCTTGTGTCACTGGAATATCTTCCTGGAGGGACTGTGATGGACTACAAGCAGCATATTTGTGACTGCATCAACAACTTAGGTAAAGTAGGCTCACTTGTCTACTGGCATGAGTGTTGATGACAGTTTAAAGCACATTCTTTCAAAAATTAAATGTTGCTTAACAAACTGAGCTCCTGTCAACCATTTGATGCACTATGGGAATTGCAAATGTGAAGGAGTGCCTAGCATGATGGATTATTGTGGCCATGAATTCCCTCAGATATAGTTATAAGTTAGGGCTTATTAACACAAGGAAGTCCATTTTTTAAACAAGAAGAACTTCCATTATCTCTAATCACTAGATTCTGAGGGAATTAGTTGCATATAATTTTTCATTTAGGTGCAATTTAATTTCCCATTTTTGAACAGCAAACATATTTGTCATGGGACTTTCCTCCACTAATGAAACCGTGTCATCTACTTTTCACTTTATTTTTTGTTCCAAAGTAAGGCATATATCCAGACATCCCTTAATAAAAGACAAACTGCATTCATTTCCTCAGTGATTAATTAAAAAACTTATTAAAGTATGATTTACACTATTTTAAATTAAATAAATCATAAAATTCATGAGGTGTGTAAGTAATACATGAAAAATTAATCTGTCACACAAGGTATCTCCACAGAAACATGGTACCTAAGGTTTACTTTCCTTTTTAAATTAAAAAAGAATGTTTAAAAATGAAAAATCTTTCTTGAAGATTTTATTTTAGTTTTAATTTACATATAATAGATTAAATTTAATATTTTCAATAAGCAAAATACTTTGCTGTAGATCAAGAGCTATTTGAAATTGCCTGGAAAGAGTTTTTGTTTTGAAATGAAAAAAAATTGCTGATTTTAACACCATATTTAGCCATCTGTCATCACAATGTAATGCTCTTTATTAAAAATCTTTCAAAGATAAAATATCTTTTTCTGAAACTTTATTTGAAGAATATCAGCTTATTTAAAGTTTAATTTATTCAATTTGAAACAAATATTACTTCTAGTTTAAAATATCACAGAAATGCATTTTTTTAACATGGCAGTAGCTGTTTATATTGACACTTTGACTGACAGATGGAAGTTTATCCAATTTTCTTCTATGATAGATATGTCTGTAAAAATTACTTGAATTTTTAACTACTCAGTAATCTTAAAAATTTTGGAAAATATTCTACATAATCAAATGTTTTATTGAATTTTAGGTACTTTGGCTTTTAATTTACTATAGATATTGTTCTTATTTTCTGATAATGTTGCGTATCGATGTCTGTTTTTACAAATAATGTTGTGTATGGATGTTCATTTTTACAAATATCAGCATGCATATACACATACAAAAAAAAATCAAAATTCTTTTTAAAATATTGGGATTGCTAAATTTTAATAATGTTTTCCATTCATGTTTAGTAAATATAGTTTTTACTTAATAACAATATCACTTAATTGAATTGACAGAATTCTAAAAGATTTTAAACTTTATAAATTATTAAAATTAAAAAAATTCTTTTAAAAATTCATTATTCATTGAAAAATTTCGATATCTGATTTTTTTCAATGATTCAACATCGAAAAAAGACAATAGTTTCCATAATATATATTATTCATAAAAGCAATTAAAAGCTATTCTAATTAAATAATGTCTTAGTTTTATTGCATTTTTTATTTTACAATTCAAAGATTTTCAGTAACTGGTGTTTCTGTTTTACAAAAAAATAAAAAATGATGATTTAAATTCTCCAAGGACTTCTGCTTTTAACTAATATAAACATTAAGTGGAACAAAATTTAATTTCTTGAAATTTCTTAAAATTAAATAAGTGAGGGTGGTTTATTTTTACCAAGATTTTCTAAAAAAGAACATTTCTGAAATAATTTAATTCATTTGTGAATAAGTCTTGAAAGTTTAATTAAAATCTGACAATTATTTGATTTTTGCAAGAATTTTCAAATCAATTTTCACCACAAAAAGAAACCCCACACCCACCCAGTGCAAAAAAAAAAAATTTTAATCAAAATTTTGAACGTTCTAAAATGGATGAAAAAATAAAATTTAATGATAAAAAATTCCTTTGTTCTTTCCTCTTAATAATAACAAAGATTTTGAAGATAAAAGTTTGCTCTTAAGTTTGGGACATTTTTTCATGATGGTAGGCTAATTTTTAATGACTATGTATCATGATTACATGGTTTATATGATGGACTAAAATTTCTAATTAAGATAATTTTGATTGGTATACTAGACTAGCAGCATGACCCGGAGCTGCCCGTGCTTGATTCAAAAATCGTATGACTTATACAGCAATCGCTATCACTTGACTTAAAATATTTTTGCCCTTCCTTGCCTTTAAAGGAGTGCCCTTTGCCATGCTGATGTTGCTACATGCCTTACTTCTTGCCTATCTCACACTGCAAATTTTTTCTAAGCTCTATACTAAACATTAAATCTGTTACAAAAAAAAGAACTAAACAAAATGAACACAAAACGATCAGCTTTAAAAAAGGACTCATAACTGGAAAAACCAAATGAAAAAAGAATGTTAACAACAAATACTTTTTCACACCAAACCCAGTTCTGCGGAATCAGAATCAACGTTGAGTTTAAGCAAGCGAATGAGCCAATTGGAGTAAAGTGCCATGCAGATTTAAATTTTTACCACTTGTGACAAATGCAGCTATTGATTTTTTTTGCATGCTAGCATGCTAGTTAGCATTCGTGTCAGTCAGCTGTTGGCTCTCACACTGCCCAATAGAATCTTCCTGCCTATTCGTGGCAGTCAGCTCTCACTCTGGCCAGTACAAAATGGCGACAAAATACATGAAAACTGCCGTAGAAAAAATTGATTATTTTCGCTATTGATGGGAGTTGGGAAATGTCTTGGCCTTCCCACTAACTTGGAGCATGTGCATGTAAATTTTGGTGCAAATCCGTGGAAAATTGCGGCTATGCATTCGTTACACACACATCCTGCCTTTTATAGATAGAGATTCAGAATTTTTATCATCAAACAGTTGTTGGCAGAAAAGTACATCAGTATTCAATTTTCTAATCATTAAGTTTATTACCCCATCCTTGAGCTAAACAAAAAATAACAGAAACTTCTTCTTTGTGAATAATGCAAAATGGCACATTAAAACAGTTTCTTGGAAAACAGAATTGACCATTTTCCATCAGTTGTTATTTTTTTTTCTTAATGGAGGTGTAAAAATTTCTTTAATTAAAATTTTTCATTCAAGTTTGAATGTTATCATTTTGCCATACACACATCAATTATTTCTGTTTTGAAAAACACAGTATCTATTTTTTTCAGCCCTGGTTACAGATTGATGAAGGGATACATTATGTTAACAAGTTAACAATAGATCACAAGAAAAAAAGTTGTAAAAGAACATGTCATCCAAAATGATGGCATCCAAAATGATGTCATCCAAAATTATTGGTAAAAAAATTTATGAATCAGAATTTTTTGTCTGTGCATTTGAATATTTTTTAACATTGAGGTCTCTAACTGTGAGCTACCTAGTACAAGACTTTGGTATCAAATGTATCCAAATTACATGATTTTAATTTTCTTGGAGAAATATTTAGCAAATTTGTGGAAAATAAAAAAAATGCATCATTTTAATTGAAGTTAACATCAAAGTTTATAATACCAAAGTTTTGCTAAAAATTCTGAGTAATTAGCAAAAACAATTCTTGGTATCACAATTATATGGTTTATATAATAGACCAAAATTTCTAATGAAAATTTTTTTAATAGATTCAGAAATTTTTATATAAGAAAAATGGACAATTATTGTTAATTTAGTCAACTAATTCATTCAGAAATGTCTAAACTGTATACAACTGTTTACTCATATCAATGTAGAAAAAATGGCTTTTAAACCAACAAATCTGTGGCATACATATTCACATCAGGAGGTTACCAGTGTGGATAAGTGGTAGGATAATTACTTTTATTGGAAACTTTGAAAATAAAATGAACTAACTTGAGGGTTTAAAGTAAATAATATATTTTTATTTTCTTTAGAGTGATGAGTGAGTCCTTTGGTATTTGTTGTATAAAAAAGTTTGTTAATATGGTGAATATTGGTAGCGGTCTGGAGAAATGTATGTTAGTGGTTGTTTTAAAGTAAGATTATGATAGGTGTAGCAGTAATATCAAATATTAGGTCAGTATCAATCTACTATATTTTTCTTGGCCCTGAACAGAGCGGAAATATCAGTAGCAGATGGTCTCTTAACTGCTTCTTCACTCTTCACACATGGCTGTTTTCTATGCAGTCATGTTCTTTTGTTCCGTCCTCTCCTACCATCCGTTCTCTTGCTACTAACCCAGAGGCGTCAGTTTATATCCTTTTTACTAGGCTTGAGAATTTTGTGCGAACTATGGTTTCAGCTAAAATGTCTCTTTGTTTCAGTTTTTTGATTGTCCAAATTATTTTAATCTCCAGCATTCCTTTCTTTTTATAATGGAAGTTATATGTGGATCCTCCCTAATTTTTGGTATTTTTCAGTCACAAATAAGTAAGCTCTGCTCCTGCAAACTTCTAGTGTTTTGGTCAGCTTCAGTCTTTGTTCTTCCTCTTTTTATTTGACGGTTGCCTTCTCGTAAGTTGAGAGAAGTTTAGAGAGAGAGAGAAAGAAAGAGATAAGTGTTTTAAAGGAAAGCACAAGTACCTTATTTTCATTTGAATTCTTTTTATTTTTGTTTGTATATTTTATTTTTTATGAGGATTCCCTACAAATCCTTTAGGTTTTTAAAAAAGACAATTTTTATCAGACTCGTGTTATAACTTCATAAACAAAACTTTACCAAATAACCAAAATCACATCATTTGACAACTTCCAACAGCAGCAACAACTAAAATGGATAGCACATGTAACGAGAAGAGAAAATAATGATATAATGAAGATGATGACATTCCACACTACTTTAAACAAAAGGTTAGGATGGAAACTCCTATCATTACTAAAAAGAGTGATAACAATGAACTTGTGAATGTAACTTCCGGAAAAACTGTTTTAAGAAAAAGATTTTTTAAATTTCAAATGGCAGTAATTCTGATTGGTTAATGAATTACTAATAATGAATTTACTGTATTGAAATGGCTAAGAAATGTATAAACATTTCAGGAAAGGAAAAACTTGTCATTTGTAGTTTTATCAAATTGTTTACTGCAGTACAATATTTTCTTGACAGATGGCATTGCCTTCCTGACTGTAACTTCAACAAGTGATGTCTACAACATGGCTGACATACCTTTGTTGTTTGAGGAATGTAAGATTATTTTAAAGTCATATTTTAAATATGAGAATGTTGTTGAATTCCAAAAACAATGAAGCCATGAGTTTGCAACACAACCTTCAACATGTTTGACAATTTCATGGATTCGTGATAAGTTTGAAATACATGGTACCATGTGTGATGTGCATAAATGAAAATCCAGCAGACCTCGTGCAGCAACAAGTGCTGCTTCCTTGGCTATGGTATTGAAACAGGTCACAGGTTTGCCACAGAAGTCTACTGCACAATGTGCACATGAAACAGGAGTAAGCAGTACAAGTATTTAGCATATTCTTAAAAGAATCAAGTGGAATGTTTACATTCCAAGATTATTGCATGCAATTAATGATGAAGATCTGGATCAAAGAATCCAGTTTTGTGTGTGATTTCAACACATAATAAATGAGGATGAAGATCTGGGAGAAAGACTGTGTGGTGTGGTGAAACACAATTTAAGCTAAATGGAAAGATGAAATGACATAATTGTGTTTACTTGGCACTGGAAAATCCTCACAAAGCAGCCAATTACCTGCCATACATGAACTTTATTGGAAATGTTGAATTTTTCTTTCAACAAAATGGCACACCACCACACTACCAGCAAGACGTGTGACATTACCTGAATGAGAATTTTCAAGGACACTTGCTAGGATGAAGAGTGCAATTGAGACCTTCCACATTCTCCTGATTTAATACCAGCAGACTTTTACCTATGGGGACACTAAAGAATGTTGTATATCACAGAAAACTGACTACGTCCAGCAAAATGCATGTCCAGCAATGTCATTAGACACTTTGGCTAACATTACCAAAGCAGTATTTTGGTAGTAATAAATGTTCGGAAGCTGAAGGCCACCATTTTGAGCATTTCCTGTGATTGTAGAGTTTAAAGGTAACTTGTATTAATTTTGTGATGTCTGACTAAATTTAGCATTAAAGATTGCATTCTCACATGAAAAAGAGAGTTGCTACAAAAGTTAGTCTGAAATGTAACAGGACTGGGTGTCATGACAATTTATTTAAATTCCAAATAACAAACTACATGGTTTCCCCTTCAAAGTTATCCCCTCTTAAGTCTAATGCACTTTCCCATCCTTCTTTGCCAAGTTTCTATGCACTGCTGAAAGGACTCTTCTTGGATGCCTCTCAGCTCCCTCATTACATCCATGCCTTCAAAATGGGTCCCCCTTGAGCTTGGAGAAAACACAAAGTCATATGGGGGCAAGATCAGGTGGATAGGGAGGTTGTTTCAGTACAGTGATTTTCTTGACCAGTAATTGTTGAATGTCCAGGTCATCGTATTGTCATGGTGAAGTAGCCATGATTTGCCCTGCCACACCTCTTGCATATAAAAAAAAAGAAGCTAAGATTATAGTTATATATTCTCAAGATATCATGTTAGATGATAACGCAATCTGCTTATCCCTCTTTTGCCCAGAGCTCACACAGCATACCTAACCCTGTTACTTTTCAAACAGATCTCATATTTACATTTAGTGTTTAAGCTAAAGTAAAAGCTAGAATTCCAAATACTGATTTTCAAGATAGGTATTCACCCCCTACTTGAAACGCTGTGCAACACAATCTTTCTGACCCCCAACACCATAGGCAAGGAAGCAGCACTTATTGCTGCATGAAGTTTGCTGGATTTTCCTTTATGCACATCACACATGGTACCATATATTTCAAAATGTGTTCCAAACTCATAGCTTCATTGTTTTTGGAATTCAACAATGTTCTCAAATTTAAAATACAACTTTAAAATAATCTTACATTCCTCAAGCAACAAATGTATGTCAGCCATGTTGTAGACATCACTTGTTGATGCTACAGCTGTAAGGTTAATGCCATTTTCTCACTTATTCTTGTGCCATATTAGAAAGAGATATAACATTTAATGGACTTGAGAGGTTTAATTTTCTGAAAACTGTTGTTAAAGATTATAAATTTTAACTGACAATAATTCTGTTTGGCCAATGAATGTCAAATGTTTCTTGAATAGAAATGGAGCATTTTATCTTTACTATTTAATGTTACATGACCAGTGTTAAAAAAATTCAATTGCTGCGATAAATTGAATTACATTAGGCAAAGTTTGCATTAAACTGACAGTTGACAGGGAATAAAGCCTAATTGGGCAGAAATCTGCAATTAAAATGTCAACGATATTGATAGGTCAAGGCTGTTTATTCACAGGAAGTTGATCAATTGATTGAGAAGCAATGATTTAAAATGAAGGGATCTGATTTATTGAAACTCAGACATGCAAAAAAATAAATGGAATTTTTGATAATTTGAAAAGTATAAATCAGTGTGCAACACTTTCATGCACACAAATTAGAAAAGTAAAAAAAAATGTCAAGTTGAGGATTTCAAATGAATTTTGCATAACAAAGACTGACATAACAATTTGGTATACTATATAATTTCATTGAAGTAATCAATCTGTTTCTATATATCTCATTCTGTTTGTTTGTTTCTATCTATCTATCTATCTATCTATCTATCTATCTATCTCAGTTTGTTTATCTGTCTATCTGTTTGTTTATCTATGACAGTCTGTATCTATCTATCTATCTATCTATCTATCTATCTATCTATCTATCTATCTATCTCAATCTGTTTATATCTATCTATTTTCATGTCTATGTATCTCAATCTGTTCATATATATCTATCTGTTTACCTCAGTTTGTTTATCTCAATCTGTTTATATCTATCTATTTTCATGTCTATCTCTGTTCATATCTATCTATCTATCTATCTATCTATTTTCATGTCTATCGCAATCTGTTCATATCTATCTATCTATCTCAATCTGTTTATATTCATCTATTTCAGTCTGTTTCTATCTATCTATTTTTATGTTTATCTCAATCTGTTCATATCTATCTATCTATCTATCTATCTATCTATCTATCTATCTATCTCACTCAGTCTGTTTATTTATCTCAATCTGTTTATATTCATCTATTTCAGTCTGTTTCTATCTATCTATCTATTTTCATTTCTACTCACATGATTAATCCGAGTAAACTTTTCTGTAATGAACCAGATTTATAAGAATCTCTTTCTCATGTTTCAAGCTGATTTATCTTGGGATTCCATTTAGAGTTGCAAGCAGCCATTCTCATTAATTGCACAAAGAATGCTTTATTGCTGGAAGTAAAAAAAATATTACAAAAATAACATTTTTTGTTGGGTTTATTTGACCATTTCAAAATTCTTTTTCTTTTTTTTTCACTCCATTATTCTATCATTTCATGATTATTTTCTTTTTTTCAAACAAATCTTGTGCCGTAATTTAACAATCTAGAAACAAGTCATAACAGATGATCACAGATTCTGTCATTTTTGTATCTCTCTTCATCATCAAAACCAGTGTGGCGTGTGGCGTGTGGCTAAAATTAGGGTCAGTGCTACTTCAGAAAATTTTAGCCATTGTTTTAATAAATTTAAATTTTAGAAAATTTATATATAAACAAAAACAAAAAAAATATTTTTTACTTACTTATAAATTGTTACAGTTCAAGCTTGATCCATTCATTTAAAAATGAAATCTATTCTTCTTGTTTTACTTTCCAAAAAAAGGTTAATAATTTTTTGCAACAGTTATCCAGATGATTGTTGAATTTTTCTCCATTGAAAGCACTTGCAAGTTTTTCAAGATTCATAGCGCTTCTTAGAAAAGTTTTTATTCTTTTTGGTGTTGAAAAGTAGCTCTGATGTGGACATAGGAATTGTCAAGAGGATTATTATCAATTTCATAATTTCAATAAGAACATCTAGATTATTTTCCATGATGGAATAAGTTCTAAAGCCTGATCTTGTGCTGCACAGATAATTCCTTTGGTTTCATTCTTCAAGAACCTCCATAATTCTTGATCTGTAACCTCTTGAGATTTTTGTACAAACTGTTTTTTTTTTATCCTTTCACCCCAAGCAAGGCAATAAAGCCACTAAGACACAGGGGTTTACAGGGAATTAAAATGAAAGAGAATGAGAAGACTGAGAATGGGGAGAAGTGAAGGAAGGACATAAAAAAAAAAAAACAGTGTTCAAGAAGACACAAGATGGCGGTTGACATTGTATTTAAATTTTTGAAGATTGTAGTTATCAGGGAAGCAAGAAATCAGAAGGGAGAGCCACAGGTGCAAAGTGTGAGAAAAAAGAAAGAGTAGAAGTGGCAGTTGCATCTAGTTAGTTCAGCAGTAAAATGGTGAGACCTAGTTGGCAATCTAGTAAATTCATGTAGACTGGACATATATATATATTTATTTATATATATATATATATATATATATATTATATATGCACATTACTTATTGGAAAGCGCTTATATTGCGATTGTCAGAAAAACTGATTAACTTTTTAAATTTTGGATTTATATATGGTTGTGTATATCGGTGTTTTTATGGTAGTGGGAGGAAATATTGCGATCGGAATGCCACATACATATGCAAACATACATACATGCACATTCACTCATTGACATACGCAGGCATACATACATGCATGCTTACTCACTGGAGATCACACAAACATAAACATATATGGACAGTGTGCGAGTGGGCATATATGCACATTCATGTGTCATTGCGTACATACGTATGCAATTGGTTGCTGTATTCAATGTTGGATTGTGTAGCGAAACATCTTTCATCAGTTGTGGTATCAACATGCAGACCATTCGTCTATTTTGTTTGCTAAATAATGTGTTCTCGCACAGACATATGTACATATGTACATGCTTTCACACATCTTCTATCCATCATTTTTTTTATGATGGGGTTTGTGTAATACTATGGTAGGTAAAATTGCTATTATTTTGAATTTTTTTTAAAATGCTCTTTTGTTATTATTTTAAAGCCGGTTATTTGCTTGTTTTTGGTGGTTGCGCATATGTAAATGGTAGAAACTACAATTTATAATATTTATTAGTATTTATGCAGTGGTATTAATTTTTCTGGGGGTGGAAGTAAGTATAATTATGGACTAATACAGTAATGTTAATAGTGGACTAATGCAGCCATGGTAATTACGATGCGATAGTAATAATTAGTATATTTTTTTATCCGTTTGGTATAAATTGTGATAATAGGTATTTGTTTTCATGGCTGCGTGAAAACCAGGGTCACAAACTCACATTGATCCAACTAAATATACACACACACACACACACATATATATATATATATATATATATATATATATATATATATATATATATATATATATAGTGTATTTAGGCAGCATTTTTTTCATTGATGCATGTTTCATTAAATAATATAGACAAGTTTTGTCTATTTTATGTAAATTCTTTTCATATCGTCTGATAAGATTAATAACATTATCATTAAAAGAAGAAAGAAAATCACAATATTAATACATATTTTTTAATCTTATCTAAGCTTTCAGTTTGCATAAGCCATTATCAAAGTTGACAATTACATTACAATATATTAACCAATACACGGACAAAATAATAATATTTCTGTTTCTGTTTACATGGAAGATTTCCAAGCAACGACAAACTTGTGCATATAAGACACTGGAGACAAAAATCCTAATGCAGCTCATGACATCACACATGACCACGTGAGAGTGAAAATGAGAAGTATTAAGTATGGGAAGCTGTTGGTATAAATCAATGGCTTCTGTTATAAATTATAGGCATTTAAGAATATTTGTGGAGATTTTGTAGTTTATTTTGTTCAGGTTAGGTTTCAACTGTTTTATGTATATAGCTTCAAGAAGTTTTAGTTTTTGTTTATTGCTTTCATGTTTAAATATAGTTGTATTTTCAATGAGGATTTTCCAGAATTCTGTATGCAGCCAGGCATGTTGTTTTAAATGCCTAAAAATGTTAGAGTTATCATTCAAATGTAGTGTCAAGCATTGTGAAAGCGAGTTTGTGGTGTGACCAACATAAATATTATTTAATCTGTTGGAGATACAATCTCCCAAAGGGCACTTGAATTTGTAAACTATGTTGGTTTTTTGCAAATCACTAACGGGGAGGAGGGAAAAATCATTGCGAATAATTGAGTTGGATATACTAGATTTAGTGTAGTATATGACTAACCTAATATTTTTGCTAGGATCTGTTGTAGATATATTAGTATTTACTAATTTTTTTAGTATATTTTCATCTTATTAGTATGCATTTGACTATTATATAAGAGATTAATATGCTTGAGATTAGTTGAAGCAGTATTATGTTTTATTTGCTTAGTATTGAGACTTCTAAGAAAGCATCTTATTTGTTCATCAACTATATAGTTTGGAAAGCTATTATTAATAAGTGTTTGTTTTATATTCTTTAGTTCACTGTAAAAAATCTGTTTTGTAGATGAATTAGTTTCTGCACGATGTATTAGATTCTTTATAATTGCTATTTTGTAGTAATATGGGCAGTCACTCTTGTAGTTAAGTGTACATGAATTTATGCTTGTAGGTTTTTTGTATGGCAAAATAGTAAATTTGTTATTATTTGTGTTTATCAATATGTCAAGGAAGGGGATTTTATTATTAGTATTGAGTTCATATGTGAATTTAAAGGACAAAATTATTTTGGAGATGTTTTTGAAGTTGAAGTATTTCATCTGTATTTTTAACTAACATAAGGATATCATCAACGTATCTTAAGTAGATAGATGGTTTTTGAAAATCTGTAAATATCTTATTTTTGAGGTTCAACATGTAGAAATTGCTAAATGTTGGACCCAGTACTGAAGCCATGGAGACACCATCACGTTGTATATATATTATTATTATTATGAATGGAAGAAAGGGACTTCAGTAGTACAAGCTAATAGTAGTTTCTGTAATATATTAGGATTAATTTTAAGTGGGGGTAAAGATGAGTTACTGTATATATTTCTTATAATTATTTCAATAGTTTCACTAACAGGGACATTGGTAAATAAGTTTTTGACATCAAGTGAAGCTATGATTTCATTATTGGGTTTTTCACTTTTTAGGATTTGGATTACTTCTAATGTTGACTTAACATTATATTTACTAGGAAGGTAGGGAGTAAGGAGTTGGTTAATGTATTTTGTTAGATGATAAACAGGAGTTGAAATTTGCGATATGATAGGATGGAGAGGATAGTTAGGTTTATGTGTTTTTATAGTGCCGTATATATAACCAGGTCTATAATCACCAACAATTTTAGGGAGTTTTAAAAAGTTCTGTTCAGCATTATTAGCATTGATAAGTTTATTAAGCTTTGATTTTAGTTGGTTGGTTGGGTTCTTGTTAAGTTTTTTAAACTTTATGTGATCATGGAGTATGTGGTCAAGTTTTTTTGTTGTAATTCAATTTGTTTAGGATGATGAACATGTTGGTCTATCAGCTTTTTTAACGATTATGTCAGGGTGATTGCGTAGTTTTTGTGCTGCAATTTTTGGTTCTTTAGAAAGTATTTTTGAGGAGTTTCTGCTTTTATCATGCTGGTCCTTGAATGCCTTAAGTAAGTCTTTAAATTCTGGTGTTGTTTCCATTGGTTGTTCATTCTGGAGTTTAACAATGTTTTGGTATAGGGTCTCAATTTCTATTTTTTTAAAAAGTATATATACATATATGTGAAAAGTGTTTGTATATAAATATAAATATATATATAATCATTTATATATTATATGCACGGTACTTATTAGAAAGCGCTCAATATTAGAGATAGAGCTAACATATAAATATATATATATATAAATATATACATATATATTTTTATATATATATATCCTCTATCCAACCAAATATATATATTTATATGTATGCATATATATATATATATATATATATTATATATATATTTATATGTATATATATATATATATATATTTATATATATATTATATATATATTTATATATATTTATATATATATATATATATATATATATATATATATATATATATATATATATATGTATATATATATATATATATATATATATATATATATATATATATATATATATATATATATATATATATATATATATATATATATTTATAT